CCTACGGACGGCATGAGGGGACAAGCTGGTACGCTTTCCAACGTCGTCCTTGGGATCCGCCGCTACGTCGCTCACCGTCTCCAACTGCGACATCTGAGCCAACCACTTCTTACCGCTCTACTAGACGCCGCTCACCATCACCCCTCCGCCGCTCTACGTCTCCATTGCGACCTGTCTCGCAATTCACTAACCAACGCCCGGAAAACTAACCTCTGCAGCTTTTGGAGGAAAAGCTGCATCGAACGAAAAGACAGAAATTCCTCCAGTGCGTTCATATAATACATCTGTTTTCATAGAAGGTGTGTACGTGGACGCTTTAATAGACACTGATGCCTGTTTGTCTGTGATTGATCGTGCTCACGTCTGCGAAAAAGTCACCACCCCTTATGATGGACCTACGCTGCTCGCTGCTCAAGCGGACGCCATTAGACCTGCCGCTGTATGCACCGCTCATGTTTACATAGCTGGTCTTCTCGATTTTGTGCAATTTGCCGTGCTGAGTTCATGTGCCCACCAGCTTATATTAGGCTGGGATTTTCTGTCTACGGCAAACGCTTCCATCTGCTGTCGAGAAAATGTTGTTCATATGATGGAAACTGACTATGCGCTTTATGCGGATGATAAGCCCGTTCGCTTGCTCGCTGCGGAAAATACCGAGCTACCACCTGGTCACTAGCGAATAGTTACCATCACTTCTAATGTGATCGACTCTGGTGACGTGTTTTTCCAACCATGTGCATGCTGTCTCGCTAGAGGTATTGCCTTTGCTTCAGGTCTAGCGCGGTTCCACAATGGTTCCGGACTTCTCTACGCTACAAACCAGACGTCTGAGAAAATTCCCATTCCTAAAGGCACCACAATGGCTTGCGTTACCGAATCCCAACCTGTCTCTGTTGTCCCGCTTCTGCCAGCGTGTTCTGACCTTCCTTCTATTGGACGTTCATCAAGCGTTTCTGTTCTTGCTGCGATTATTAGTCCAGAGGTGACCTCTTCACAGATGAGTTGCTTGCCTTGCTACAAAAGCAGAGGAAATTGTTTGATGCCCATTCCTCATCTCTGGGACAGACGTCCATTATTAGGCATCGTATCCAGACTGATGGCATTTCCATCGTACGCCGTCGACAATATCGCGTCTCTTCGTCTAAGCGTGAGGTCATTGAACAAAATGTAGCCGATACGCTGCAACAGAACATTATACGTCTCTCTGCGAGTCCTTGGTCATCCCCTGTTGTTTTAGTAAGGAAAAAAGATGGCTCCGTGTGATTTTGCGTGGACTACAGAGCACTTAATAAGATTGATTACCCACAAGGATGTTTACCCCATGCCGCGCATAGACGATGCTTTGGATTCACTGCAAGGTGCCGAGTACTTCTCAAGCTTAGACCTGCGTTCAGGTTACTGGCAAATACCCATGCACGAGGATGACAAAGAAAAGACAGCGTTTTCAACACCAGATGGGCTGTGCGAATTCAACGTCATGCCATTCGGCCTTTGCAATGCTCCAACAACATTCGAGCGGATGATCGACACAGTTTTACGAGGCTTGAAATGGAAGACTTGCTTGTGCTATTTAGATGATATCGTTATTTTTTCGTCAACGTTCCCTCAGCACTTGCAACGACTGGATGAAGTTCTCACGTGCCTTGCAAACGCAAGCCTTCAACTGAACACCAAGAAGTGCCGTTTTGCGAGCAAGACGATTAAAGTGTTAGGCCACATCGTCAGCAAGGATGGTATTCGTCCCGACCAAGACAAGATTTCCGCTGTCCAACACTTCCCGCATCCTGAAAAAGCCAAAGATTTGCGCAGTTTCCTCAGCCTCGCTTCTTATTTTCACCGATTCATTCGAGACTTTGCCTCAATAGCTTCACCATTGCACAAGTTGCTCGGATCAGGCGTCGCCTTTGTGTGGTCTCCTCAATGTGAAGCGGCGTTTGCCCAACTGAAGTGTGCACTCACATCCGAACCAGTCCTCTGCCATTTCGACGAAACCGCACCTACGCTCCTGCATACAGACGCTAGTGGTCAAGGCATTGGTGGAATTCTCCTACAGCGAGACAAATCTTCACGTGAGAAAGTCGTCGCATACGCGAGCCGTGCACTCACCCCTGCCGAAAAGAATTATACTATCGCCGAACAGGAGTGCCTAGCGGTCGTATGGTCGATACAAAAGTTTCGACCTTGTCTCCAGGGCCGCCACTTTACTGTGGTTACGGACCATCACGCCTTGTGCTGGTTCTCGACAATCAAGAACTTGTCCGGCGGCCTTGGTCTCTGGATTCTTCGCTTACAAGAATACGACTTCACGATTACATACAAGTCAGGAAACAAACATCAAGACGCCGACGCACTTTCGCGTTGCCCACTCTCTTCGGAGCCACTTAACAAACCCGCCACTGCCGCACTCGAGAAGCTTTCGGCCGTCTTTTCCTTACATGTTTCGTCCTTAGCTACTGTGGACCCAACTTCTCCAAGCGAGTGTGGTTTGTTCTTATCTCACGAACGTGCTGACCCTTACTGTCGCCGCATCATGGACCGTCTTGACGGGACTTGCCGGCCACCTAACGCCCGTCTTCGCCGACAGCTGACGCAGTTCAAGCTCAACAACCACGTCCTGTACAGTCATATCTACCACCCTGATGGTCAACGCTGGGTGCCCGTTCTACCTCGCTCTCTTCGGGCTCAAGTCCTCAAGACATATCACGACGACATGTCTGCTGGACACATGGGCTTCCAGAAAACATATGACCGCATAAGATGTCACTACTACTGGCCGGGTTTGTCCACCTGTGTCGCGAAGTACGTCGCCTCATGCGCCCTTTGTCAGCGTCGCAAGCTACCTACATCAACTCGAAGTGGACAATCACAACCGCTCCCGTGTCCCCTGCAACCATTTGAGATAGTTGGCGTTGACCTGTATGGTCCACTTCCTATGACTGTCACGGGCAATCAATGGATAGTTACAGCTGTCGAACACCTGACCCACTACGCCGAAACAGCTCCCGTGCCTTCTGCATCAGCTTCGGAAGTGGCTGACTTCATACTTCGAGCAATAATCCTTCGTCACGAAGCTCCTCGTGTAATCCTGAGTGACCGTGGAAGAGTATTTCTTTCAGAACTCGTCGAAGAAGTGCTCAAGGCATCCGGCAATACACACAAAACAAGCTCCAGTTACCATCCTCAGACGAACGGCCTTATGGAGCGCTTTTATTGACACTGTCAGATATGATAGTGATGTATATCGAACCGGACCACAGAAATTGGGACACCATTTTGGCATTTGTTACTTTTGCGTATAATACCTCTGTACAGCGCACAACCGGATACTCGCCGTTCTACCTCGTCCATGGTCACTTCCCCTCTTTTTTCCTCGATGTTTCGTTCTTCTCTACGCCTGTTAAACCATGTTCATCTTCAAGTGAAGAATACGTGTCTCGTCCACTTCATTGCTGCCAGCTTGCTCGCGTCAACACTGAAGCCAAGCAACAGGATCGCAAGCTTGAATATGATGCCTCTCATCGTGCCGTGTCCTTCAGCCCTGGCGACGAAGTCCTCCTTCTTACACCCATTCGCACTCCTGGCCTGTGCGAGAAGTTTCAATTACGTTTAATTGGCCTCTACACTGTCTTGGAGCAAACGTCTCCTGTCAATTATTGCGTGGCACCCGTTCTTCTTCCAACGGACCACCGCTGCCGGGCAGCAGAAATAGTCCACGTATCCCGCATCAAGCCTTTCATACGGCGTTCCTCTTCTCTTTAAACTGTGGCCAAGAATTGCGGTCAGGATGACCGCTTTCACGTGGGGGGAAGTTAGTGTAGGCATTCATTAAGCACATCTACTATTTTTACACATGTTCATCATCATGAGTGGTCGTCATCTTCATCTGCTGTGGGGACGTGGCTTGCCTGAGTTCTGTGCCTTGGGTGTGGTCGCTTCATCGTGTCTTCTGGGCCTAATAAAGGTTGCCTTCACCGTTAACATCACAATACTATTCTTATTCGATTAAAAATCATTTGACCAAATCACAAATTATTTCAATCCTAAAATTTACTATTCCCACAAGCCTATTTCTTCCACATAATACCAAGCAGGTCCAATTCCTTTAGGATGGCGAGCTCGCGGAGCCGCTCACTGACAGCCGTCATGTCACGTGTGTATGACGTCGTGGCACCAGCAGCGCAATGTCACTTAGGTGTCAATGGGCCCTAGTGCTGCCATTGTTTGATGTTATATTACTGTGTGTAAACCAAGCGTGCGTTGGCATCCAGCAGCACGGATAGCATGCCTGTTTTCGGCGTGGACAATGCATGGCGCCGTCGCAGGCGCAGCAGTTTGAAAGAAACTCAATAAATTCATTTTCCATTACTTTCTGCTTAGAAACAAGGCTTTTGTGAACCCATTCGAGCACCAAAGCAAGCAAGGATATGCTGCCCGAGACGAAACTGAAATCACTTCATGTTAGTCTCAAAAACAAGCCAATTCCTACTAAAAGCACTCCACTCCAAATGGCTCATTATGCAAAGCACACTCAGCGAAACCGAAACTATGACGCTCGAGTAACATTATACAAAACGAACTAATAGTAGTAGAAACACTCTACATTGTTGGGATGCTTGAATTATGCTCATCTTCGCCAACTGACACGTTGTCGTGAATGTCATAGTTACACACAGCTATGACATAAAACTTCAAGCACCACCCGGCCGTGTGGAATCACACAAACAAGAGGAACCCACTTTGTGCTCTACAAATGTGGGACACGAATGTTTTTCGCAAGACGATTGCTCCAGGGAAGGCTTTTCTGTCGATTTTGGTGACTGGCACCAGCAAAGAACGCAGCAGCACTTGACACCACATACAAAAATTAAATATTGCTTTGACCACAACTAAAATGTCCAGTGCAGATACCCTTGATATGAATTCGAGCTAGACATCTGACAAGCAGTCTTCCCAAGAGATGATAAACAAGCACAACATTACACAATAACAACATAATGAATAGCAAAGAACCAGTCATTTTCTACTTATTTATTTATTTTTTACTAGCCATCGGATTTCGGAAGCCTATAGTATCCACCGGAATAGAGCAGCTTTTGCTTGGAGACTTGGCCATCGAGAAAATGCCGCAACTCCTGCTCAGTAAGTTCAGCTGTCGAAGGGGCCTGCATGGCAAACATCTTGAGCATTGTGTGAATGCGGTCCAATTTCAGCGATTCCAGGTTTGTCAGCATGCCGACTATGTAGGACCAGTAGATCTGCACAAAGAAAAATACTCGATTAAAACCGACTGCTGCAATGCAGAGCACAAAAGTATGGGTTGTGAACAAACGGTCCGCGGCAGCCTCACTATTTCTGTGCAGCTTCCAAACGCGGCTCGGCCATGTCTTTCCTGTCTTCCAGTGTTTCTGAAGTGCTAGACGTAAGAGTGCAGGAATAGAGACAGTGCACTATGCCGCAGCCAAAATTTGATGTAGGTGCAAATAGCCTGCTGTTGGCTGTTACTCAGCATACACACCTGGCCTCGGTCCATATTCTTCACCTACGCTCGTGTTCCCCCTGGCAACAGATTCGACACTTTTGAACATGGTGCTATGTTTATTATTATGCACTCTTGTTCTTGATTCCTGTAAACCATTGTGCTTCACTGCTAAACTGTTAAAGTGTATAGCCTCCCTTCATCCTATTTTGGTGTGTGCCAATTCGTAAAACTCAACAAATGGAAATCCACCCTGCTAATATATTTTCAGTAAGATTTGCAGTATTTCTAAACAAATAGATAAGTGAATAGATAAATAAAATACATTCATGAAGGCAACATTTCATTTTGACTATGATCAGTAACCAGCTGCTTCATTCCTAAATCAGCTATTTTACCAAACCTAGAAGTATTTCATCACGGTCTCTCTTAAAAAGCAGAATTTCAAAATGTTAAAAAAAAGAGAAGTGGTTGTTAAATGACCTTATTTCAGAAAAGTAGACTCTCATTAAACAGAATGTGCAAGAGACAAGGAAAATGTACTCCTTTTAACAGAAGTTCCATTCACTGATAGATAAACAGGGGTGCAGAATCCAAGTACAAAACCAATTATATTAGATGTAGTTTTATTTAAACAGTAATTCTATTTCTGAGATTTTTATTTAGTGATCGTCCACTTAATTCTAGTCTAGAACATTGTTGAGGACTAGTTCAATATGCTCGGCAGCTGGAGAAGAAAATGCCCTCATCAGTCACAAGTTAACATTATAAAAGTGTACTAATGTATATGCATCAAAAACAAGAAATTTATAATGCTCTGGGATTTATCAACCACCACATAGATTCTAACACATTAGAATAAGATCGGTTTTTGTATTTCACCAAATGAGCCATGAAGGAATATTGGCAGAAGACATGGTAGCAAATGTTATACAAAATGTCACTTTGTCTAAAAAATAATAAAAATCAGGCCAATATAATATAATTTCTCACCTGAAATCTTTCTTAAAATAAAATATTCCTGTGGTCTTCTAAAATGCAAACAATTTCTGAAAGCTTGCAGTGTGGCTCTTACATATATGTGATGACCATAATGCGCATATCATGTCTCAATGAAACAGAAGCCCTAAGGTAACAATGGTTGACATTTACTGCTGGTTTATTCATTACCTTTCCAAAACGTGCGCAAACGCAGCCAATGTGAACGAAATAAATGAACTGCGGCACCTTTCAGCAATGCTTAGAAATCAACGTATGTAGTTTAGTTTCCTTGATTTTTGTTTTTACTGAACAGTACTACGGTACACTTCAGGCAAATTTCGTCCAAACCATTATGTTTTAAGACATGGGCATCGATAAATATTGGAGTACCTCGAATATTCAAACAAATATACCAAATTCACTTTGATACGAATTCTGATTATCCAAAATTTCAAGTATTCGAAATGAATGAATAGAAGTATGTTTGACCTCATATAACCCCTGTAAAGACAACTTCACTGCATCACTGGGCTGCTATGCCATGAAACCACTTATCCTAAAGAAATCCACACTGCTGTGAAGCTACACTTCAAGCCTATACTTACACATGTGTCTCTCTTACATGTCATAGTGATCAGAAGTTCTGCTATTAAGCTTTTTATGATATAGAAACAAGTGAAAGTGGTGTGATAGCACAACGATCACAGCAAAGACTATTAGTTGTGTATGCATACCTGCCAAGTTCAAGGATTCTGAATCCGAGAGATTTCCGCAATGGGGAGAGGGGGGGATTGCGGTGAATTATTTGTCCCTACTTTTTTTTTTCGGCGCAAAAAAAAATCATAAAAAACAAGAGAAAGTGGAGGTGGGGTATTAATCGCAAGTGCCAACACAAGCGTTGCGGCTAGGAGTGGCCAAACACACGAGGGTAGGGTTTCCCCACTAAATTCAGAGTCTCAAAGGATCAACACAACTAGCAGAATCTATTTCCGTCAAAACAACTCGCGTATGTTTTCCTGGGACACACGTGAATGGACAGGACGGCGCAGCTGGCTGTCACAAAAGTGCGGGTAAAAGCTTTGCTCACTGCTAGATTCTTTTGACAGGAATGCCTAAACGCGTCTGGCCTTCTTTTTTTGTTTTTGCAAATTTACTGCCTTTAATCTACCGCTGAGTTAGCTGTATGCCCTCGGAGCTCGTAGATCGCTATCGCGTCATCACGACCGCGATTTAGTGCCTGCCCAGTGGTTGCGGCAAACGGCAGTTCTTTTTTCAATCCCCGTGCACTTGGCAGCGCCCGTGCTTTCAAAACTAAGTCATTTTATGCCATCTATGATCGCATCTGCCGCAGTTTTGTCCGCAGAGTTTGTGCAAAGCAGTGTTGCTTTGACTGGTTGAGCATTGGACACATGCACATTTTCGGGGTTCTGCCAGTTATGTCATCGCCATACATGATCGTGTCAAGATCAACAGCATTTTCGTCCACAGTAGTAGCGAGGACAATCACACGCACTGCAGAAGACGGTGCATGCGTTGGTGGCACGCATACTTCCGAAGCTTCGAGTACGCTGCTCTCTGCCTTTGTTCGACTGGTTTCCGTACTAAAGTTCATATAACCTGCCGCGATTAGGAAATGTGTTCGGAACATCCCAATTTAGGCCCAATGGGCATAGTAGAATTTGGCTGGGGAATCTGCCGCGACTTTGCATCACTGAGATTCTACTGTACATTTAGACTACGCCTCTTTAAAATCATTTGTAATAAAATGGGGTAGGTTTGAAAAGCCTGGAGCAGATTAAGCTGCTTTTTTGTCAATGCGGGCAGATCACACACAGAAATTTCGATTTCCGGGAGATTTTCATGACAACCGTACAAATGGAAGAAACGGTCAAAATCCCGGAGTTTCTTGGCCAATCTGGGAGACTTGGCAGGTATGTGCAGGTATGTGACAGGTATGTCTTTTTGGTGGCATGAACTCGCTTTTTACAGAGAAAAAGACAAGAGCTCTCAGCTTTTGTTTAGAGGAGGTTGGAGGTTTCCAATGGGCAAATAATGCCATTTTTTTTGTCCCGCTTGCATCTTCATGCAGTGACGGTGTGACCATACCTGGAAGTCGCTCTCCTTCTGGTCTTGGGCAGACGCCATAGCCGAAGGAGTCTCCTCTTCATCCTCGTCCAACTCCAGGGGCGGAGGTGGGATGCTGCCGCTCCCCGATGAGCCTCCATGGCTTCCCAGAGCGAACACACCAGGCGACTCCTCCCAGAGTATGCCTTGACCCTGCCAGAAGGCCAGTTTGCGGCGCACGAGTGTTGACGATGCCTGAGTCACAGCACTCAACTCATCCAGCGTCCACCGTGCTGCAAGGCAAGCAATGCAAGTAACAAGGATACAGATGTCGCAACAGAAGAATGCAAATGATAACAGGTTTGACCAGTGCCTGTCACACAAAAATCCTGATGCGAGCAAGTGCAGGGCCTATACAACATCAGAGTGACATAAAGCGTGCTTAGTTTGGCAGGTTTAGGCAGCTTTTTTTTTTCTTTGCCTTCGTGTCTCCCTTGTTACAGCTATGCAGCGCAACTTTCCACAACATATACCAGTTTAAATGTTAAAGGAGCACTGACACCAAATTTCAAGATCGAGATGTGCCCATCATTCGATCGCTTGGTATGCATAGGTCTTCTTGACCAAATTTGAATGGCATCCATCGCGTGGTAGTTATTTTAATTCGATGTCAAACAGCGTAGAAAAGCTAAGGAAAAAAAACGAAAAATAGACTGCCCTGTGACATCGACACTAGTGCTACGCGTTAGGTGTGATACATTCCACAAATGCCATCCTGTGTGACGATGCCCTAGCAGCGATGACGTGTACGATCCGAGTGTTCTTATCCTGGCGCCGACTGGCGCCAAAGTGCAGAAACGCACTCCCTCATTTACGGCAGGGCTAGGGCCGGGCTAGCCCGCGCAGGTGCAGTCTAGCCCGGCCGTGGCTCGTCACGTCTGGTCTTCATCGCACCGGTTTGAATGATTTCGTGAAATTATCAAGGTAAAAACTACCTTTAAAATAATGGCGAAAGAAAAGAGCATGATTAAACATGTGCATGTCGGTCAACATGTCGAAGAATCGTTGTGAGTTGCAGTCGTCTAGTTCGAAGCACGGAAAAAGCGCAATGAGGGTGTCTTTTCATATCGTGTATGTGTTACACCTCAACACGACCACAAGCTATCAAAAGTGTAAGAGTGTGTAGTCAGATATCATCGCTAACAAGTAACATGCAAATATCGTTGAATTTTAGTTCGTCTGTAGACTTTGCGTCTACGTAAAAATGGTAATACCGTGTAAACCGCGAGAGGCTGGATAGGTGGGGCCATCTGAAGGCGCAAACAAGAACCTGACAAGCAGGAAATGTATTGTTTTTTTGCTTATGCTCATTCGTGATAGCTATTTTGCGTTGACCCCTCTGCGTATACCTGAATGCTTTGCACGCCAGAACACACCAATATAGCTAACTGAGACACACGAGCGAACATGGCTAAAGTGTACATCCTCGGGCACCTCTGCAGTGCTGCTTGGAAAGGCGCCCATTTCGGAATCACTGTTCTGCAAAAAGTCTATCAAAGCAAAAATAATTCGCGACGTCGCGAATTGCGGGGATTCCACGCTTCAGACTATCGTATTGAACCCGAGTCGACACTTTGTACGGCGACGACAGGAATGCAGGTGACAAGGAATGACTGAATGTGTCCGCCTAGTAGACGAAATGTTTGCAGAGCAGCTGAGCCTGACGTCACTCTTTTCTGTAAAGAAGTGGTCAGCTGTGGCGTGATTTGGAGGTGACCGCGAGGTAGCGCCACTGCTGGTGCTTTCAGCGCTAAAAATGGCGGGATTGCCGGCCGTTTTTGAATAGTGCTAGATCCCAGTAATATAAATCAATAAAAGTGATAGTTATTCATCTCTCAGTTGCGTTTTAGGTCGTGAATCGCTGCTACGGGGTCTATAGCTACTGGCTGATGCAAAAATCTTGGAAAAATTGATGCCAGTGCTCCTTTAAGCTGCCAAGGTGTGGCGGATAGTTCAAGACACATAAGTGCTGCTTCTGTTGTAAGCAAATGCAGCGGGCAAAACAGCGTGCATGCATAGCTTTACCGTGCCAACCCATGGCATGCGGCACTCTGCCAAAGACTATGGCTGATGGAGGTCATATGACCAGAATAAAGGACACGGCCGCAGCATGCTCCGGGTGGCCACAGCCTCCTCAAGTGCTTTCTCTATGTACTGCAGATGCAGCAGCAATGCCCTAGCTGCTGAATCTAGAGTGACCATTTCCATTTACCTGACCCTGAGCAAAGGCACCGAACATAGATAGCCTCAGCAATTCATGTAAGCAGAAAACCTGCATCTGCCAAGCAGTACACTTTGTGTATAGAGCTACAAAGTGTTTTTAAATCATAGAGCAATGTAGAGATAACGCAAGCAAATGTGCTCTACACTCTCAATTTTGGTCACTCGAGAGAGAAAACAGCTGAGAGAAATCACTTGAATAGTATGAAACGCACTATGCAGGCAATCTACAGAACTTGAAGGTGTCTAGTTGAGCACTTAAGAGGATGCCAGAAAGGTGTTTAAGTGATGCTGTTTGCTTCAAAATAAACATGCCATACATGGCACTTGTTCATGGACTATGTCAATGAAACACATTGTGTGTTTATTCTACAGCCTACAGCAGGCATAATGAATACTGTAACACAGCAACGCCTACAACTACTTACCATCGAAGGAGCACAGAGAAATCAGCTGACTTTTGCAGTGGGTGGGAGTCAAAACACTATAGAATTCACAACACTAAATGATGCATTGGTGCAATCAATGTTACAAGCAACCACCACAACACTTATACTTTTGTTGTTAGAAGGTACAAGCGCAAAAAAGGAAAGAAACAACTTAACAAAGGTATTCGTAATGTTCATAGACTGTCGCACCGCCACGCGGAATCCAGAAACGTCTTCTTGAGGATGGTCAGTAGACATAAACTCTCTTGTGTTTAATGTACAAACCTCAGTGTTAACGCGTTAGCAAGAAGCAAACACTAACTACCTTGCATGTTTTGTGCATCAGTGAATAAAACGGACCGTCCGTGACGCGATAAATCTAATCCGTTTTGGCATGACGCGAAGTTTTCGTGAAAACAGCTGGAAACTCGCGCATTCGAATATAGCTTGCAGAGTACACAATTCAGCTTTGCGATATTTTCTGCTGCCACGTTGGATAGCTAAATGTTATTGTTTGACCTTTGCAGTCGAGACTAACCTTGTTTTACATGCGTGTAGTATTCGTCAGTGCTTTTGTAGTGCATGAATCCAATAACAATCATTGCAAGCGGAAAGTAGCGCAGGCTCACGATTTGCACTTCCAAACTATGGCCAATGCTGCGCCGCTTGCTTTTATGCATTTCTTGACAAATGGCAGTGCACTGCAAGCAGTTTTAAGCAATTCACTTGAGAACAGATTTCTGAGCGAAATATTTTCCACGCCCAGATAAGCATAGTGAGTGACACAGTGTTGCTGTTATCGCAGTCGTGCGACGCAGGGAATCCCACAGATTGCTTTCAGCAGTGATGTTGAAAGAAACCACCATGACAACAAGGATTTTTCATTGGACGTGCAAGGTTGTTAACACACAGAGTGTGACAGCGATGAATGATCAGCTGTTAACTCACGAGGAGCGAGTTGCACTTCACGTCTCCCCGTGCGTTAATGTCTTTTGACGCTTTTAACCCACTTTGTGTTTAATGTATAATATCCTTCAGCGAGGTCAGAATGATAGCATGGTTTTTGTGTACATTGCATGTACTCCAATTACAGTGGATATGGAGCACCGCATGCCGCCAACACGCTCGAGCTCGACTAGCGAAGCGAAGTCGTTAGAGCCATGAAACTAACAGTTAAGACTACAATCCACGCCTCTCTGCTAACTTCTCCTGCATTTCACCGGTACCTTCCGAACAACATTATTGTTCGAAGAAGTTTTGCAATTTCCACATTGCGAAAATAGATATATGTGTGTATTCTTTTCGATATCATTGTTTCAATCACACTGATGGAACCTGCACCCTCCAAGTGGAATGAATTGCGCACGGTTGAAGTCTGAGCATGGCTGTGACACAAGCCCTACGTAATGATAACTTAAATGCATGTGTTCCATTTAAGAAGCAACTCCATGTTGCTGACAGCGCAAGCAATGACAATGGCATAATGTTTCGAATCATCGCCACGTTAAACATTCGGTCCCGTACAGCCACGATGGCGCGCTACTCGCTAGCAGCTTACTACTGCGGCAAATTCGTCGGGCTGGCTCGGTACCGATTACCTCGAAGTGCCGTTCAGTTCAGACGTCAATTCTAGTTCGCATAGTTTTCTGTAGCATGCACAGAATTACGCAAGACATCGTTGATGCACGGTCAATCAGCTGAAGCCACCACTTTCGCACTGGGGTAAAAAATTAGGTAGCGAACATTTAGCAGTTCCTATCATTTGGGTAAGGACTTTGGTCCAAGATACGTTCATTTGACGATCAAGAGTTCATCTGGTGAAAGTGGCACGAGGCATACATCCGTGCGTTTTATATTTTTTTATGCTAGTTCACGAGTTTGCCCTCCTCTTACAGCAGTCTTCCAATGCACGGCGCGCCACCTATAGCCTGTGGGCATTGTGAATACTTGCAGCAGCAAAAACCTAGGATCAGGAACAAAACCTGTGGGACACTAGTTCCCCAAATACAGCTAGCCAGAAGACAAAATGGAGCTGCTGCAATAGTGACGTAATATGGTCAAAGGTCCTTAGAAGTAGGAGGATTCATTATACTAAACAGTGGATTAGCATATTCGATGTCAGCGAGGATCACATTATTTTTTACAAACTGCCCTTTGTATTCAAGACACCTTTGCCATATGAGATGCTCTCTTGGTTGTACTTCAAATGTCAAGAATATGTGCGCAAACATTGTTGCAGGTATTCTTGATATCCTGTTTCCTATGAGCTAACTGCTCCATTGTCATGACGAGTCTTCAGCTGTTCTCGGGCTGCTTCGTACAGCATCTGACCTGAAAGGCTACCCCCAAAATCGTAGCAAAGAAACTTATGAATTAGTGGCATAAAGTGTCCCGTGCCAATCGTACCGAAGCACAAGTTGACTTACAGAGCAGAATCCCAAAAGCGATAACTGACAACCACCCGTTTGTAGCACAAAACCAAAAGTAAAGCCATTTTAATTTCTCCCAAAAGAAAGCTTTTAGCTGAAGAAAAATTCGTTCTGACCCAGGGATGAAACTTGGGACCAATGTCTTTATGGGGCGGTCGGTCTACCAAGACAGCCAACCAGGATGCTGGTACTATTTAGCCGTGCAAGGGTGAATTAGTTGATAACCCGCAGCACATGGACAAAGAATATTGCAAGAGAGTTCTGTGGAAGTAGAATGGTGTCTGCGCATGCACCACATGTATGCAATTTTCAATTATATGAATGAGACGGCTCCAGAGATTTCAGTCCTGGAAGCACTCCCTATACTCTGTTTCATGAGTTCTGTGCAGCACAGCAAAGGCTGCACAATCTTCGAGCACCGATTCTGGTGAAGCTAGATGTGGTGCCCATGTTCAGTACCTGTTGCGTGTCCATGACCTTTACAAGTGGTCTCGTCACAAGATTTTTACTTGAAGGCTTCTCTGTGTTTTTAAACTATGATCTGCCTATTGATTTTGCCACATTTTTTTATACAAAACAAATTATGTAGCTCTATGACGAGGAGTTCTCACTTGTTCCATGTTGTAACATTCAAATGATGGAAGAAATAAACCAAATGTGCCTCGTATACATAAAGTTTTCATCTCTAAATTACAAGCTATTGGTATGACTTTACCTAAAATTTTATATGCAGTCGGTAGTGCCACAGCCTCCACATCACCGTGGAGGAAGTGGCATAGGGTCCGAAAATCACGGCTGCACTGCCGGTAGCAGTTGTTGCTTACCTTGAATCTATCATGTGGCCACCGCGCGCTTTGTAACTAATAAACTGAAAACTGATGCTTGTATTTGCTTTAAATTCATGTCCTTAAGCTTCAGCAACACAGTATTCATGCCGATTCAGCACAGTTTTTGAGAGCCACACTTACATAATTGATTTTGTATGTTTAGCACGTAACGAAGGGCACTTCCCAAATCTCAGAGGGAATGCATTAAATGATTGTTAGTTTCATTTATTTATCAATAGCCAGCATTGTTTGCCCTGACACCAGCTTGAGGACACACTATTTGCTTTTATGCTGTGCTTTTTCGAATACCAGGCAGACTAAGACGTTTTATTGACTGCTGGAATCATGCCTGGCAGCGACACAGATGACAAGCACACTTTTAGCATGATAAACGTGGAGCAAGAAGCAAGCAGCTAGAAGTGTCACTAAGCTGACACAGGTGATGCGGAGAGCCAAAAGCAGATAATGCAGTTCGCCGATGCCCAAGAGACTGTTTGGTGGTGGGAAAAACTGCGATCGAGAAAATCTGCCAGATGACATTGACTTCGGTGCGTTGCACAGAGTCGTGCACAATTTCTGTTAAATAACTGTTAAATAAAGGATATTCTGATAACCTGCAGGCTCACCGTTAGCAGTGCTCGTGCTTGCAGACAAATAGTAAACAGGGTGCGGGAAGATGCATTTAGATGTGCGCACCCTCTTGATTGGCTGAGGACTGTAGCTTCCCTAGTGCTGCACGAAACTTATGAAAGAGAGTATAGACCACCTGCAGACTGCTTTTCATAAGTGCAGCGTATTCGGACCCCGCAAGGGTGCTCCGGGAGGAAAAGTATTCTTGGAGAAATTCTCACGCTTCTCTTGGAAGTGGTAGATGAGTGTGGCATGCATGGGCGACACGGTGAGCTGCAAGGTGCGGGTGCCAGTGTCGATTTCGAGGACGACTTGACCGAGGTTTGGGCGCCACTGCAGGGTACGGTTGCCCTTGATGGTCTCGAAGGCACGCGTGTAGCGGTCGAGTGATGCCTGCACAGGTGCTGGCAGCACCAGCTTCTCGTCCTTGAAGGTTGGCCAGAACTGGGCTGACACCACAATGGCCGACACATCTACCTCCTGTCCAAGAGACATGAAAGACATGTTAGAACTGTGTGGTTCACATAACAAGGTCGCGTGAGAAATAAGGAAATCAGTTGTAGCATTGGCACGCAATGCAGTACAGCTGGACTACAAAACACCGACCTTTCTTCCAATGTTTCTACTAGCTATGTTTGTCCATAAAATTTTCAAACATTTCGTGATAACATAGTGAAAGGAACAGCGCAGACAGTGATGAAGAAAGGAACCCAGTAAACGAATGCAGTGTTGACTTTCAAAAAACTTTATTTTGCATGTGTGCAGCTATTTATACCGAACATCTGACAAAAAAAAAAAAAAACGAAGATTCTTGTACTCTTTGCCAACTGTTCTGCATAAGTAGCTAGCTTTGCACATGCAAAACTAAGCATTTTGTTGAAAGTCAGCACTACATTTGCTTTCTTTGTGTCTTTCTTTCTCCTCTTTGATACTTGCACCAATCTCAATGCAGCTGAACCCTTTCATTTAAGGAACCCTGCTGTAACAAATAATCGGGTATAAGAGACACATCGAAATAGGGGTTGACAAGAAAGTGCACATGTCCCCCTGCTTGTAAGAGACACCTCATGAAAAAGACAAAATTGCTCCCTAGTGAATGTGCTTCATTAAGGGGCTCAACTGCGTAATGTCCTACTAAAAATCCTCAGTGGAAACTCTGCCCATTTTGCGACAAGGTCCTCCCTGCAGCCAAGGTTCTAAAGAACCAAGCGGTCCAAATAAAAGAATGCAAACATTCAGAGCCACTCAGCCTATCTACACTTGGCTGCAGTGATCGTGCATTAAGACAGGAACACACCCCTTCGGTGTAACCTGGGATGTCACCGGACGCCAGGTGGGCGTTGAAACGGCGAGAGTCGGCCAAGTCTCTCAGCATCACTTCACAGGCGTGCAGCTGGGCCTCACCAAAGCGCAGCTTTAGGCACTCCAGGTAACGGACTTCACGCTCGGTATCGGCACACGTGCCCGACAACAGGCGGTTGGCTAACAGCACCTGTGGTACAAAACAAGAAATAATGAATAATAACTATAGAAAAAACCTCAAATGTTCAAATTTTGATTTGGAGTGCTGTGAAGTAAGTTACATGGTAGCTCCATATGGCAAGATATTTGATGAAGCATTGCAAAAAGGGCACAGTCATGCACACATAAAAGGATGTGAGCACAAGCGCAGACATATTTGGCAAGTTAAGAATCGCTATGTGAATTCATTTTCTATTTGCTTGCTGCCATGAACATCACAGCAACAAGCAACGAGAAAAGGGGGGGGGGGGGCAAAGAAAACACATAAGACATTATAGAAATGGGCACATAATATCATAGATCTTTACAACCGAAAATAATAGCTGGTGGAAATTGGCTGCTGTAAATGACATTTAAAGTTAAACAAAATCATGGTGATTAAAAGTTCTTACAAGTTTTAGTGCGTTAAACCGGTAAGCACATTTAGAACATAGTTTTTCTGGCATATAAAATCAGCAAGCTGACCTGATATTCTGTTGCAAACAGCTTCTTGCTTCCGTAGATGTTCACCAGCATACTGACTATATCGGAAGTGCGTGCACCTTTCGACACCTGCACTGCTGTGAAAAACAGTATAATAACACAAAAGGCACATCTTATGAGTATTACAGATAGCAATAAGACAGGAAGATGGATAATAAGACTTTTAAATTTGGTAGTGAGTGGGAGAAAGTGCGGCCCCCGAAAACAGCCAAGAGGAATGTTTGAATTCAAGTAATTGGCCATTTGTATACAAAGTTGGTTAAATACAGCCTTTGCACCATTGTGTCAAGTGTAGTTGTGTTAGGTAACGTGTGCTATAAACTACCTGCTATGACCAAGCCACGAGCAATATGTACGCCTAAACAATACAACCTCTGCAACTGATCACGAGAAGGATTTTTCATGTCTTTAGTATGCACACATGAATAGAAATGAAAGGCATACTACAGACAGATTTCTTGTATGAAGCTCTTTTTTTTTTTTTTTTTTTTTTTGACGCCCGACCACACTGATCACCCTGGCAGAAAACCTGACCTTCTGAAGTCAATAGCATACCTAATGCCACTTACAAAAGTGATTTCTTCATTTTTTTTTTTCTCTTTTATCAGGTGGTGACATGCAATACAGTCAGCACTCGCACTATACCACCAAAGATCAAGGAAGCTGTACATGTAGACACTAAGCTAACCAACACTAAGCAGCAATAGCTGGTCACTGCACAGCACGCTTAAGTAGAAACTCACCCAAGTTGAAACTTGACAACATTCTCTCCACAAGGGCAAACTGAATCTGCATTCAATTTTTTCATTATGCAGTGATCTATAGTTATAAATATGCTGCATGCTATTCACATAAATAGACCAGCTACTTTGTTTTAATATGTGCCTGAATGTGCATCTGCAAACTATGCTCTTTTGAAGTTGAACTCAGTAAACTCATTCGTACCCGGTTCATTGCCAAGTGGGGCTGGCCGCCAGTTCTGCCAGTCTTCGTCGTCGTCATCACTCATGAAGCTGTCTTCAACAGAAATCGGGGTGAACTTGATGAGCTCTGCTTCAAGCTCCGCGCAGCTGTCATCTGTCAAGTTCGAGACTATTGACCTCACGGTGTCTTCGCGTGTCCTGCCCAGAAGGAAAGAGTGGTTCGCAAACAACACAATCACACAACAGGGTGTACAAACAAGCACCGTAAGCTAGGTAAAGCCATATACACTAAAACCTCATAATAAAGTTGCATTTTACATAAAAATAAGTGCACTATAACTGAAATTTGTTATAAAGGTATACTCGTAACACTATACCTATTGCCAGACTATTATTCCCTTACTTCGTTATAACCGATATTTTATTGTATCCAGGTGTATAATATCGAGGTTTCAGTGTATTTCCAAAGTGGAAATAGACTGTACTGCATACTTCTAGCATGTTGAAAGATGGGACACATAGCAAGTGTTATAGCTGGAAAGTAACAGCAAGAAACCTTGAATTGACATAAAAGTACTTCACAAAATGGCAAACACGGCATTACCAATGCCTTGTTCATACCAATCATTACATCATGGAACACAAAAAAAAACTTGCGGTGCTGGTGTACCAAGTTTTCAGATATTATTTTCTTCACCTGTTCAAAACTATGAAAGTTTGTTACCAAGCAATTTGCATAGTTTTCCTGTGTAGCCTAATACAACTTTATATAACTCCTAATTAAAAAGCTATAAATAAGAAAAGCATTATTGGTCATAGATAACATTGCTTAAGCATAAACTATAGTAACAATGACGTAGCAGTTAACACCTACTTACAATCAATACTCAACATTTCTTTCAGCTTTGAATAAAGTTATGCTGGAATGTTTTGCAGAGTAAAAATGCACCCACAGGAGTGCCTTGAAAGAAATATATCACACTATTTCAGTTTTGTGTTTTGCAAAAAGTGCATTTTCTCCTAGAAAAGCTTGCTCTCATACTGAAAAAATGTGTACTATTGAAATAGTACTATTGTACTATTGGAAAAGCCTATTTTCATAAATTTAAACAGTTGCGCTAATAGCTTTATTTACGTAGGGCAGGGGGTATGAAAACTAACAGTGTTAGTTTAGCTTATCCATAAAATACATTTGGGCCATCAAAGCCACTTTTATTGTGGAAGGGTTTGTCAAACAAGTGGAGAAACAAGTCTGGTGAAGGCATCTCAATCACACACCTCAAATACTTGCACACAGGCTCGCAGACAAGTTGTAAAATGTATCCCGTTGGGTCAAGAACACGCAGTGCCTTGATAGCTGATATATATGCAGTCAATATCTGGGTTGTTTCCACTCCTGAAAAAAAAAGAAAAAAAAAGAAAAAAAAAGGCAACACTATTGTCGAATAGCTCAATGCTAAATGCTATAAATTATGTACACTAGTGCAGCACCATATTTGTGCTTAAATATACGCCAAAAGTATACAGCCTATAAATGAGAAGTTTTTGCAAATCTAAAACAAGAGGCAAATCAACTTTGGTTGGAACTATAAATGGCATAATGAGAAATGTCCTTCACATTTTTAGAGAGATTAAATTATTGTGCAATGCTGTTGATACTAACTGCGTTGTGTCTACTAAGCTTGCAAGAAATTGTTGTGATGGCATACTACTTATCCAGCCTGTTCTATCATTTTTAAATATTTGTATAGTGGATGTCAAATCGAGATAACAAATTTTATGCCTAAATGTCATATAAAATATCACATATCAAAACTTCAATGCATCGCTACAATATTCATCACTACAATATGTGTAAAACATGTGAATCCATGACCTGCGTAAAGCGCACTTGGTGGTTGAAGTGCACACAAATTATGGGATGCAAACAATAGACTACCAAATCACAAAATCATGCCATGGACATCTCGCAATAGTGCAACAGACTAGGCTTGTGCAAATATTATAATATTAAAATTTAGGTTGAAAGCAAATCTGAAGCGAATAGCGATTTAGTTCAAATAGACTTTGATTCAAGCTTGAAATTTCATTCAAACCAATAGTTTGAATCAAATTCGAATTGCGTGTGGTATCACATAATTTAAACAAAAGTGAGCCTATTTGTCATGACCCAACCAAACTGCACAATATTTTTTAAGATTAAAAGAAGGCATGTGTAAATGTTTGGTTCAAAAGGATGTGGAAGGAACTTGGAATAGTAGCAAGGTTTGACTTTCGGTAGAATGCTAGAGATAAACTGTAAAATATGCTATGTTTTAAAATTCACTATACTTAGAGCATATAAACTGGTGTAACAAGCTCTTTACCTTAAAAAAGAAAGAATCAATGTGAGGTTAATATGCTCATTTAACTTTAAAGTATGACTTTGCAGAAATGCACATTTTTCCTGGAAAGGTATATCACAGAAGTGAAACTACCTTTACAGAGGGAGGTTACATGGGGATTAATAATATATACCTATTCGTTAACTTATAATACTCAAACATTTCAATAATTTCAATCCAAATTAAAGCGAACTTGAATACATTAACTCTTTCATTACCGTGCGAGAACTGTTGTTTTTCATATGTCTCGGGAATATTGTTTTTGCCAGTTTGAAAAGTACTCCAGCCCGCATTGTAGCATACCAAACTTTGCAGAATGAAATGCTCTTTCCAAAAAATAGATGTTGTAGAGCAACAAATATATTTTAGAATGAACGAAGATGTGAAAAGTGTGAAATTTTTCATCATTAGCTGGTAAAAAGAGCAACAAAAACCTTATATATGCAAAAATTTTTAAAACAAAGAAAATGCAGAATATACATTTTGTAGATAAATGAGCCAGGAACAATATAAAAATAATTAATGTTGTAAAAAATGTTTCTCTTCACATAGACAAAGAAAATCGGAACCAAGGTGCTGCTTCATTGCTCATGCGATGCGGTGAAGCATTGCTTGGTTTATCGTGAGACACAAGTGTACTTGTACACTTCTTTCAGCTGATTTTTGTTGCCTTGCGATGAGAGTCTCCAGGTATTCCAACATAGATGGATACCTGTGATGTGAATAATCCCTCTATAAATGAGATGTCCATTGAACTTCGCTATTTTACCTAGCGTCACCTTTTTGCATGGGCCACCTCATTCCGCATAGGTTGATGTTCCAATATATGCATCCAAGCATATTCGCGCATATCATAATAAAAAGAAGGACAATATCGAGCGCAGTTCTAAAATGTTTCGCACTACTCCATAGTCAGGGCCAAGATGTGCTTCGAGGGCCTTCTTGCCGTTAGAAAAAGCTCTGCAGCCAGTGCCACTACACAGCGCCCTAGCGAAGTATGGACCACACACGTAACCCTAGTAACGATAAGATTATGCACAAAGGTCAGAAGCTATAAGCACTTGCAGCAGAAGGAAATAACTTCAGGATGTAAACAAAACAAACCCATGAACGGCTCCGAATGTCTCAGGCTGACGCAAAACATTGTCGCCATTAAACTTGAAGCTGAGGTGCAGTCATTCACGAAATCTCGGCTCGTTCTCACTCAATTCAGGTGGGGTCGCAAAACAGTTTCAAGCAGCACATGTGTTTTGCAGTGCTGATGCGCACCCATGCGGGCACGACGACCGTGTAATAGGAGTGGCTAGTGACAGTAGATGTGACCCTGTGTCTGATATATAATGATACAAGTAAAACCAAAGTGGCTGGAAACTGGCTGTGAGAGCCAACTGCACACTTTATACATGGGCGGACCTTGGGAAATATTTTTTTGTAGAATTACTTTTCCCTGACTTCTAGCAACAGTTCTCTATTGATTAGCTGGCATAAATTTCCGACAATTATTACTGCTTAACTCGGTCAAATTGCGAAGCTAACACATCAATTCGATATTTGGCTTGCAATGTTTCTTTTCATTACAATACTCTGATGTTACTGTAGCATAATCCCAAGGGGCACGCACTTCTGTCAAGTTAGCCAACCTAGTGCATTTTTCCAACCACACACGCACATTGGTTCGCGCAACAATCTCTAAAAGATCGCTATGTTGCCCAAGTCAGCAAATTCAAAAAAATTCTTAAAGTTGAGTGGCTGAACTAACTACTAGAAAGTGCTGGGTGCATGAGAAAGAAATTTAACATGCCTAAATTGATGAACGAAAAGCATTGATTACCGGTGATTGATTTGAATAGGTGTGGTAACGAAAGAGTTAATATTCACCGGAATAGTCAAGGTGTTCGAATATTCCACCACACACAAGCCTAGGATTGACATGATAATGCACTAACTTTCGAAACATCAAACTCAGAATTTGGTCCCTTTTCAATATTTCGGATATTCTTACAATTTGATCTCATGTGAAATGCAGTCTCCGTTAACAGTGCACGAATATATATATATATATATATATAATTTTTTCATCCACTTTTCTTTCTTCTTATTTACATTCCATTGGTTCTAATAACTTCCCCTGTACATTCCTTGGCATTACTGTCTGTTATATCTCATTAATATTGTGTTAAAACACGGAAATACGAGCCCTTAGGTATACACTTCTCTCCCTTATATATATATGCAATTACATATGCCCATCTATGCATACACTATTATATGCATATGTTCATGTATACCATAACGACTACTTTTCCTTTATTTGTCTATTAATTTATTTTGTATTGACTTGTTTTTGATAGTGTAAACTGTGGTACACTGACATGTGCTTGGTACTAGTACCTGTTGCTGTATAGCATAAAACTGTACAATTCAAAATTAGTTTGTGGCAAGGCTAACCCTTATTTCGGTAATCCTGTATATTTCTGCGTATATTGATCATGTTTGGCTAAGGAAACACTGCTGCTACTACGTCCAGCATCAATAAGACCATGATTATTCTACGATGCTTATGAGTACTCTAATCTCTAAGTTCACTAATGCTGAATGAAAAATTTTTTGAGAAGGCCGCTGAAACGTGAAACATTCATATTTGAGCCCTCTCCACGATTCTTGTACTCCACCTGCCCGAAAGTATCCTAGGATGTATTATCAGCAATAAACACAAAATATAAAATAAATACTATAACCATATGTTCAATTGTAGATGGTTGAATCATTGTTTATATGCCAGCTTCACCTGAATATAAAATGAGATCAGTTTGCGCTTAGTAGGTCTCAAAAGTGGCATGCATAATTTTCCCTTCAACATCACCAATACAACATGGCACAACTGTTTGTTATGCATAAAATTTTAATATTCTACTGAATAACAGTGAAGGTTTATCCACACTGAAGGCAGCGCGGTAAAGCGGGCAAACGGGCTATTCGAAGCGGTGAGTGCACACACCCATTCAGACCGCACGCCATTCTTTGGCTGGCCGAGCATGCGAGGAACCGGGCACCTCGCACTTTTGCGTGCGTGTCACTATCACGAGGCCAGACGTTTCCAGGAAGTACAACAGCGCCACGACCACCTCTGCCACGTGGCGTTCTGATCGGCTGCGGCAAAGCGGCGAGCCTCGGCGGGTGGCAAAAAATTGCCTCAGGAGCAATCACACTTTACGCCTAATTATCTTCCCGCTTTTGCTGCCGGGAGATGAGGTTTTCCCCGCTTTCCGCATTGTGGCCTTACCGCTTTGGCCGCATCTTAGTGTGAATGAGCCTTGAGTGATGGCCATATACCAGTAACATTGTCCGTGCTTAGCAACAATGAAGTTGCAGAAATATTGCGGGTAAGAACAACAATAAACGTTTCACGGGCATCTGTCAACATGAAGGTGTGATACACCAAAGGCATTCTTTGAAGGAAACACCATGCCTCAAGTAGGTCACGTACTTGTACATGCGCAACTACACTACAGACCACTAGCCACTGGCCACATGAATTTGAAACCGTGCAACACTACACTCAAACCTCATTATAACAAAATTGCATCTTAAAAAAAAATAAGTTTGTTATACCCAAAAATTCGTTATAAAGGTTATTCCTAACACTGTATCTATTGCAAGAGGTACCTTTAGTTTACTCTGTTATAACCAATATTTGGTTATATCCATATTTGTTACATCAAGGTTTAAGTGTAGTTATATTAGCATAGCACATGGAATCTGAATAGACACACATTTCACTACCAAATTGGAGAAAATGCTTACAAGTTTTTGCACGCTGTAAGATTGTCTTATGCGAGAGTGATAGCACATGACAATTCAGTAAAACTAAGCCGGCAATAAGCAAATTAATGTAGTTCAGCTAATGCAATAACTATGATGAATCTGAGCCATGACCTGCGAGTAATATTTATCACATGTGGACAATTTTGTTTGAAGACAACTATGTTGTTGTGTGGATTCTGTTATGTTATTGCAACAACTGTAGCCAATAAACCCTGATATCTTTGCTGTATAAGTGAGCACCTTTACATGAAATATGTTTTTGGCTGATATCCATTAATAGTACCTAGAAAATGATGATATGGCAATGAAAAGATGAAGTTGTGGAATTGATGCCCCTCGCAGATTTTAATGAGAGCAGGCCAAATACATGCACATATCAATATTTCAAGCTTTATGACCTCATCAGCACTATTTGTACATGAAATACCCAAGAAAGTTATTTAGGAGGGCTTTGGCAGCTAAGCTTTCTTAAGTAGAAACAAGTGGTTTATTCATGAAATGTTCATGGGAATAAAGAAGTTGCAGGAAGGTGACCGTGAGAATGAAGGGTTCATATCGCACTGAAATACATTGAACTTGACAGTTATCCACGTACATATAAATGTAGCAGGCATACATGATTCTACCAAATTAACAATCAGTGCTTTTCCTAATCTAGGAATTCGCATTCAATGTCATTGTGGTAGGCCATTGCAAAATTCGCACAGCAATAAGATGTCTTGTTTTGGGACTAACAGCAGTTAAATTCAAAACAGAAAGAGTTGCCTAATGGCCATCAACATACCTGGATGCAAGAGTCTCTTCTCCATGGCGCTCTTTAAAGAATGAATAACCTTTGACTTCAGGTCTGTGCGTTCAAGGCAGTCCCTGAGGTCTTCCAGGGCAGCTTGCGATTCGGGAAACTCTATGATAATATTGAAGAGCTGGTCGACACGGGCCATGACATATGTGTCATACAGGAAATACCGCAAGTGGTCCTAGACAAACAGATAGTTTAGACCAAGTGACTCAGTAGCATAATGTATAGCTCGACAAAGCACGAGAGAGAAAAAGGAGTGCACCTCTAGAGATCTGAGAGCTGCGTTTGTCTCAGGTCCAGTGTCGTATTTGTACAGCAATCGGAACCACTCCATCACAGTTGTGGTGAGCCACTAAAGACAGAGACATAACAACACAAATATAAATAAATATGCACCTAGAAAAAAAAAGTACTCAGTTCAAAGTACAGAACAGTACAGAATTTTCACTGGTACTAACAGGTAAATGAATGAGCAAAAAACGTAAGTACACCCACAAACTGGCAAAATCCTGTCACATTGAGAAATCTGAAAATACGATGCGATGGGCATTGTGTTCACTCGCAAAAGAAGAAAGAGTATTTCATGGATAACAATTAATTTTGTGAATCTCGAGTTTTCAGAGCTGTGCTGCTCTTTATTGCTATCTTTTTTTTTTCACTAGCTACTTTGTTATCCTCTTTATCTACGCATGGTCACACATGCACATACACTACATATTGAAACAAGCATATTTTCTTAAACGGTGTTGCCATGACACTTGGTGAACAACTGCTGAAGTGAGGCAGCTTCATCTGAAAACCGACCGAATGCAAATGGCACAAAGCTGCGGCAGATGTGTTTTGTATGTGCCCCCCCACCCCATGTATGCATGGCACCCATCATGTACTTTTTCTCATAATGTGCCAAATCCTGCACACACTTGCCAGCAAGTAATCACATTTCGCTCACGAAATTTTCAGTAGAAGTTGGAAGGCAGTGCCGCCGCACAAATATACATGCTTGCATACGTCAATCTGTGCGCAGAGGTGCTCCGTCTGTAAATCCCGCCATTACCTTTTCCAGGTTATCTAAGAATCTGCTCTCGAAGTTGCCCCTGCAGGTGCTTTGTATGTGCTTTTCTATGTACTTGTATGCGACTGTTGAAACGGCATCTCGAACGACGGCATCTAGCAAGCGAAGATCGTGCCTAGAAACAAAAAAAGCAGCGATGCTTATAGGTGGTAGCTTAGCGTAACAGCACAGACCAAGAGCTGAGCACGGGAGTGTGCTAGCATTGAATGTACTCACAATTTCTTGTTAATGTTCTCAAAGTCATCAAGCAGCAGTGAGCATTCGCAGCTGTCAGCATCAAGCTCACACCCGGTGCATTCGTATTGATCGCTTCCATCATCTTCTCCTACGAGAAAAATAGGCATTCAAATGATTGCAAAAACACTTGGTGGCAATGACCAGTTTTATTTTTCCTTCCTCCTCCTTATAGAGACCATTACGACGACAGCTACTCACATGTGATCGTTATTTTTAGGCTTACAACAACGCCCACATGACCAAAAATGACAGTTTTTAACATTTGCTGCAGCTTATTTTATACAGTGTTGTTAGAGTATCGACACACAACTCAACAGCTGATCAGCAGAGATAAATGTAAGTGACAAAGAGTGGCTTTCTGTTATATGATGCATCACAACGATAGCAGCAACTTGATGAGAAAAGCAGAACGTTGTCAGCTGCAAGCTTGGCACTGTGTCTACTGATGGAGACAATTGTGATTAATATTGCCTTACATAACATCGAATCCAGGCAGACAGCATGGGTTTGATCCTTCTCGAGACCCAGAAATCGTTGATAATATCTGGGGTTTTACGTCTCAAAATGAAGATATGATTATGAGATACGCTGTAATGGTGGGCTCCAGAAACTTTGACTATCTGATGTTCTTTAAGAAGCTCTGACATTGTACAGTAAACGGGCCTCTACGATTCTGCTTCCATCAAAATGCGACTGCCATGGCTGGGATTGGAACCCGCGACCTTTGGGTCTGCAGTCGAGAACCCGGAAATTGTTATTGTTTATTGCTTTTCTTGTTTGCATCTTCATTTTTCAGTCACAGACAAGGTGATGCTTTTGCTTTCACATTCAATGACGTGACAACTTCTGCAATGTGAGCTCTTTAACACTATTACGTTAATATCATTGCTCAGTAGTTACGTAAACAGTTTATTTAGAAATTGGTGCCCCTGGTCAACAATCAGAACTCTACAGAAACAAAAGTATACAAGTGTCTCCGCTGAATGTCTTTTTGCAACAAGACACCCGATACTTCAATAGTTTACGATATTTCGACATTCCATAACTTTGAATAACAAACTCTGAGATGAAATTAGAAAGACTACTTGATTCATCCTCAAAATCTTGAGGGTTTCCACAATCTTATTTGCTTCATGCAGAGGATGTACAGAGAGAGGATGCCCAAAGAGCCAAATTTACCAAACACATTTAGAACATTCACGATGGCAGTGAAATGACAAGCCATTATAAAATGGTACTTCTTGCATGCACTGGTTTCTTACTGTGTTCTTTGGATGATTAACCTGCACACAAACAAGCTACCATACAAAATGTGGTACAACAGTGAGCCATACTACGCAGTACTGGACGATCAATATTTTCGTGGCACAAAGCATTTCGCGAACTTGGATCATTTGTTGAACTAAAACACGACAGAAGCAAATAAACTGTCATTACACGCCAATGAACATAAGTTTCCCAAGCCAAAGAAAGAAATACAGAGGCAAAGCACAGCAATGTTATGCAAGTGGGAAAGTTACCTGCAATATGATGGAATGCCCTGAATGCAGCAGAGTAAAACTTCAACAAGACTTCGTTGAATTCTGGTGGCACAGACAGCTGCAAGGTTTCCCGCAGACTGTCGTACACAGAGTCCAAAACGGAGCTTCGAGGAGCTACCACGGCTTCGCTTGAATCGTCGCCACCCTGCCTTACTTGCGTCGAGGCGATGAACTGGGCACTTGACAGGCACTTTTCAAGAGTTGTGTGTAGTTCAGCGACCGCTCTTATAAAAGTGACCTAAAAGAACAAACAGTCATATCCACGTCAGAGCACGCAGACGGCGAAATTTGATTGGTTCGTGTTATGCACAGCGTACACTGACCCTTATAACCTTCAGGTTCGACTTGGCGGCGGACTTGAAACTAGACCAGAACCTCGGGACAATATCTCGCCGGAGTTGCTTTTCGTACTCGTGCAAAAACCATGGTGTCAGGACAGCAGCCACTTCCTTGCGCTGCAGCAAGTTTGCGACAGCATCGGCCTTCTCTCGATTCACGGATTCACTGACCTGAAATGATTTTGATTCTAAGCTGGCACGGTGTTTCAAAAACCACAGGGATCGACATGCGAAACATACTTACCTCGTGAAACTTTACGAATCGTTCCACTATGGACCAAACATCCTTCGTGATCTCCTCAGTCGCCATCACATCTGTTTCGCACAACATATTGCTCAGGAAACGTTACTGATGAACGTCGCCAGTTTCAGACATTGTGAGCAAACGCAGGGAAAACAAACCGTTCAGCAGTCCGTATTAGCTGCCACAAAACAAAACCGGCAAACCAAAACTACAGCGGCTAGAATACCAAAACAAAGCCGGCCTGAATTCGGATTCGATCGACTGGATACGACTCACATGCAAAACTTATGCTAACGTAAAATGTTTATTAACAAACAAAAACTACATATACAAAAAAGTTGCCTATTAAATTATTATTGTTGTTATTTTGTGCTAATAACTATCTGCATTTGCGACAACACAGCCGACCACAGCGGCTCCGAAACTTAACGCTAGTCTAGCATTGGCTTTGTGGGGAAGCGTTTGCTTTGCGTTGTTGCTCGTGCTACAGTGAACTAGTCCACTGCACTCGTGCTTCGCCGGCTGCGTAAGTTTTCGTGTGGTTATTCCCGACACAACAAACCAAAATGAGCAAGGCACATCCTCCAGAGCTGAAGAAGTAAGTTACAGCTGCTGCTTGTAACTGCGTCACCAGCTTAATACTAGTGCATTGCTTGTCGGCAATAGATCGGCGTTCTGTGATATGCGCCTACTGCTAATTAAACCTAAGCAATGTAGTAGTTTGTCTAGTTTATTTTGTGCTTGTAGTTATTACGTTTTTTTAATGCTGACTTCCTGTTTCATTTCAGGTACATGGACAAGAAGCTGTCGCGTAAGTTTTCTTTAGTATCATTTATTGTGAAGCGCGCACTGTCACTTCACAGGCCACGCGCGTGTTTGTCTTGCGAACGGTTTGCCTACTCACCGCAACCTCACTCGATGCCTTGTGTTGGTGGATACCTGATGAAATTAGGAAAAAATTCCGTTTAACAGAATACTCCAGTTTGTCATTGTAAACAAAACTCACCAAGATCTTAGTGAAGTCTGAACGGCTGTTTTAAAACCGCTCCGTACTTAATTGTACCGCATGGGTTTCTTTGTCCTAAGCGACGTATATCTACAAGGATTAGAAGCCAAGTTATAGTGAAGTAGACTCGGCTTCAACCTCTGTTTTGCCAAGCATGGAAAACACGTTGGAACAGTCCTTACAGCACTGATGTATGCAGATGATGTCGTAATGATGGCCGACAACAAGGCAGACCTGCAACGATTGATAGACATCTGTGGTAATTAAGGAGATAGGTCAAATTTAAGTTCAGTTAGCGAGAAAAAAATTGGCCCTATATCTGCATGTTACACTGCAAATGTCATCGAAAGACGACAGTCCTGCGTCTGCAGAGAGTGAACGAAGGTCAAGCAAGATTGGATGTTGTCAGGGGTTGATGCATACGATGACACGACTGATTGAACGACAAACAACTGATTTATTAACGATTCAAAGCGATTACATAACTGATACCTCGTGAACCATCTCCTCCCCCATCCCCCTTGCGGCCACTCTCTTCAACCGCTAATAGTTCCACAAATTACGATAGGTGGCGCCAGTTGTCCGCAGTGGATGTAAATGCCTTACAATGTTAAACAATGAGGCATGGGTAGATTTCCTTTGGAGCACGCGGAGTTACCCCAAATAAGGGGTACAAGGTGACGTTTCAGGGCAGGGAAGCTGGCAGCGAGATGAAATTTGAGGAGCGACTGAGGGGAAAAAAAAAAGAGAGGAGCATTAGGCTAGTAAACTTTTCAGCTACATGTACATGAGGAATGTTGATACTAAATAGAGGAAGCGAACTCATAAATTATCAAGCAAGTATTTAGACAACAGAAGAATACCAAGCCATAAGGAAACATTAAGAAGTAGTTGAAGGAAATGGAGAGAGGTGTGGGGAAAAGGGGGGATACTTACGAAACTATCACTGGAGACCTACTGAACTTGTAAGCAGGAAGTTAGAAAAGGAAATATCTACTATAATGGGCCTTTTCCGGGTAGGTAGCCTGTGCATGCACGCCGGCCTCGAGGAAGCACGGGCACGCATGCGCTATAATTTTTGGTGGCCAAAACGTGACGACATATGCGGACCAAGCGACATCTGGTGCCGCAAACATGCAAGTGTTTTCCCCAAAGAGAGGCGTGAATTGTGGCCTCAGAGATTGCCTACCGGCATGTGGAGGGCAATTTCGGAGTGCAAGAACAACCAGTTTTGATTTCGGGGATCTCCACCCGGGGTGCTGTTCTGACTAGGAAAAGGCCCGTTCTCAGTTAGTTCTATGTTGTTTGAAGCCAGAGAGGGAGTATTGTGGACTAAGACGTACCGAGCCAAATATGAAAACATAGGCTCGTTATGTTGTGCGTGTAGAAAGGAAGAGGAAATGGCTGAACATTTGATAATGTTCTTTGAAGGGCTTCACTCTGTAGCACAAGATGATGGTGCAGAATTTTTCAAAGCATTACGGTTTAGAGATAGTGAAGGCAATGTAGAAATAACCAGGAGGAGGCTAATCAATTGGTGGATACAGTCAAGGCACGAGTGAAATTTAATCCTTTAATACATAGTGAAGCATGTATTATACAAATATGGAAAGTTCTCAGTCACTTTTCAATGCTTTGTAGAGTACTTAAAGGTTCGTGCATTTAGCAGATTTGTTGAAACAAATAATGCTCTAAAACATTCACAATTTATTCTAAACACGAATCGCAACTCAGTTCCATCGACTGCACTCATTTAGGCAAGAAAGCCTTCATGCCTGTGGGGGTCTCGGCGAGGCGAACGCGCACATCGCCACGCCACGCTCTTGGGGTGAACGGACACAGCAGACGCAGTCGGTACAAAGCACACAACATACATACATTATTAACTAATTTAGAGGACGATATCGTCCGCCGAATGATACACCAATTTCAATTAACACGCTACCATACAAACAACATAACGCAGTGACACACTAAACACACAATAGCATGATAAACACACACTAACACACCCAACACACTAACACATACCCAAGGCGGCGTCGCCAACGCCTGACTTTCCACGTGGGACCCCAGTGCGAAGCCCGCGGTGCCGAGCACCGGGGGACCCACGCTACAGACAACCGTTCGCGGCAGCCGCCACACGCAGAAGAGACTCGCTCAACGCTCGCCCACCACCAAGGCCTGCCTTCCGCCAGGGGCCACCGCCGGCGCTACCACTCTACCAACAGTGGTACTCAAAGCGAACACAACGCCATCTATCGCCCGGCGGTGGTCACCACCGAAATAAAGCCTTGGGGCGAGACACCTGCGCCACGCGGCGCAGACAACTTTACAGGGGGGGTGTCAGCACCCCCACATTCCCCCGACCTTAAATCAAACCATATCCCGAAATCAAAAATTAGCTACACAAGCTTTAACAAAAAAAAAAATGATATCGCACGACCATAATGTCCTTGCACCACGACACCGCCGCTGGTCGACACTGCTGCACTGTCCGGCTAGACTTCACCTCAGTACCGGCCCCGCAACAGCAACGTTGCCGTCGGCGTGACGATCCGTCGCTAGCGCCGACACGTCTTCCAGTTGCGACCAGCAGACGCGAGGGCGCCGGACTGCAGGCAGTTGCGCAGGTCCCAGGCCTCCATCGCCCGACCTCACGACCGCATTCCTGGCCAGCGATGCTGACGATGTGCAGGACAGCCGGCCGTGGACGACATCCCTCCCGCTGAATACATTAATAACAACAACAAAAAACTTGAAAGAAAACAATCGAGCAGGTCCTCGGGAAGGGAGCTTCGAGCTTTTCGTCCACGTGGTACGTTGGTCCGTACTGCTAGCTAATACATCGGTGGCGGCCGAGACGCCCATCAAAATAAAACAAAAATCACTTTTCCTAACTCGTGCTCACAAGAAAAAAAAAAGTGAGGGAAGCAGAGCGCAACACTTCAACGCCACAATCCACCTAGTTGTGCCACGTGCGACAGGCGGCTGCGCAGAGCCTTAGGCCTAATGAGTCGCTCGGCAAGAACCGGCATCCACCCAGCCTAGGCGAAGAAGAGGCAGCCACGAGGAGAGGTCCACTCTGTGGGGTGGTCCTATCGCTCGCCGCACACAGCAGCTTACCGAGCGATTGGCGTCCACCGCCCCGGGCGGTGTCACGACGCCCCCGGCGCCGAGCCGCAATACAAGTCAGCAACGACGCCCGGCTCCCTGAGCCCTAAGAGATAGAAGAAGCTATTTACAGAAAATCGGACCACCCACAAGGCTTCCGTACTCACTCGCTTCGGGCCTGGCCTACAAACCACGTGCTCTAGTCCTTGCTCACCCCAGGATGCGGACCGCATGGCTCTCGTCCTAATTCAACAACGTTTTTGAAAACTAACAACTACAAAAAATAAAAACACTTGCGAGCAAAAAAAAAAAAAAGAAAGTCAACCTGCAGACAAATTCAAACACGTTACAAAACCAATCTCCTCGCTTCTCAACAAAGCACACCACCGACGCTAGCAAAGAAGTCCCCCCTAGGCCTACTCTACTCCGGCTCTAACAAATCCCTGTATTGAACCGCAAAAACAGTCGTCCGATACTCCAAGAGCCCCACGTTGGGCAGCCAGTGTGAGGTCTTGGCAAGGCAAACGCGCGCATCGCCACGCCACGCTCTTGGAGTGAACGAACACAGTTGACGCGGTCGGTACAAAGCACACAACATACATACATTTATTAACTAATTTAGAGGACGATATCGTCCGCCGAATGATACACCAATTTCAATTAACACGCTACCATACAAACAACATAACGCAGTGACACACTAAACACACAATAGCATGATAAACACACACTAACACATACCCAAGGCGGCGTCGCCAACGCCTGACTTTCCACGTGGGACCCCGGCGCGAAGCCCGCGGTGCCGAGCACCGGGGGACCCACGCTACAGACAACCGTTCGCGGCAGCCGCCACGCGCAGAAGAGACTCGCTCAACGCTCACCCACCACCAAGGCCTGCCTTCCGCCAGGGGCCACCGCCGGCGCTACCACTCTACCAACAGTGGTACTCAAAGCGAACACAACGCCATCTATCGCCCGGCGGTGGTCACCACCGAAATAAAGCCTTGGGGCGAGACACCTGCGCCACGCGACGCAGACAACTTTACAGGGGGGGGGGGTGTCAGCACCCCCACATGCCGTAGAGCTCCACCGAAACACCTGGCATCAGATGAGGAAGCATTGTAGACGTTGGTGTCAACAGAATTTTGCCTTGCGGGATGCAGTCATGTTGCATTGCGTGGGGTGTTAGGGTCGAAGGAGCAAGTTGCTGATGGCATTCCACCGCTGGCACCAGTTGTTAGGGGTCGGAAGATGGATCGCTGGAGGCATCCCACCGCTGCCACCAGTTGTTGAAGATGCGGGACTTCCCGGTCTCCTGTGGTAGCGAGGTGTAACCGGGTGGAGGAACTGAACGCTGACAAGAAGAGGATACGAAAAACAAACAGGTTTATGGCACTATTTACACTTATTTACAGCAAAGAAAGGATAGTGGTTTCACAAACCACGAGCGTGATGGTTGAACCGTGACATGGTTCAGAGCGACGTCCAGCACTCTGTGGCGTCGTTTTAAGCCCTGTCGGGCTCCTCCTCTCCGAGTGGAACACCAATCACACACACACAACAGGTGAGGGGGATGAGCATGCACGGTCCACATGAACGTCCAATATTGAGTCGTGATCACTGCACTGCAAGGCAGCGCCAGTGGGGCTCTTCCTCATCGTGTGTGTGCCGCTAGTCGAGAGGTCCCACGATCCTGACAGCTTACATCAAAGGGTCCGCCGATTTGTTCGCTAAATTAGCAGGGCGATTTGCGGCGGCCGCCACGGTCTCTTCCAAGGAAAATGCTGTCTGTTGTCCTCTCTGGAACGGTTTACGATGTCGTGGCGACACGGCGTCTCATCCTCCGGACAATGCCTGGCGGGCATAGGCAGCCGGCCGGTCGGTTACTTGATTGAGGATTAAACGAGCGCCGCTCCCCTGTCAGCTCTGGCGCCGGTCACAACAGCTTCCCTGTCTCCCGATGTGTCGCTGAGGTCATCAGGCACCACTGCTGCCTGAAGGGACGACGAAAGGGTCCGCATTTGAAAGTCGGGAACTCGCCTTTGCTTGCCACATTGTCTGGGTAATTGCTCAAATCTTCGACGGCGTCTGGCAGACTGGGCGCCGAAGGGATTGAGAGCCTCCTCAGTAGACCTGCTTATGCACAATGGCGTCTGCCCAGACGAATTTCCAGGCCAAACTTAACAGGGGTGTTAAGGTATGGATTGGGAAGGGGGCGTTAGGGGGGAGAGGAAATCCTAGTAGCATTCTAGCTACCACACTTAAATTAATAATGATAGGTGTAACCTTAAAAGACAAGAAGAAAGCAGAGTGGGTTAAGGAACAAACCAGGCTTACCGATAGCATAGTGAAATCAAGAAGAAATGGACACGAGCCAGGCACGTAGCACGTAGGCAGGATAACCGCTGGTGATTAAGGGTAACTGACGGATTCCCAGAGAAGGCAAACGCATGTAGGGAAGGCAGAAAGTTAGGTGGACCGTTGAGATTAAAAAGTTCTCAGATATACTGTGGCAGCAGAAAGCACGCGACCGGGTTAATTGGTAATGGGAAAGGCCTTTTCCCTGCAGTGGGCGTAGTGAGGCTGATGATGATATGCAGTACAAGTTGCTCCTCTTTTAGCAATAATTTTTTTCAGAAGTCTATAGATATGGCCACGTTACCTGACGACTGGCGTGTCGCAAAAGTAATTCCTGTTTTTTTAAAAAAAAAGGTTCTCCATTACAGATACATAACTACTGTCCTATCTTTCTTTTTGTTCGTGTAAGATGCTTGGGCATATATTAGCAAAATGCATAAATGATTTTTAGCATGAAACCATGTAATAACTGATGCACAACACAGTTTCAGGCATAGATACTCCACAGTTAATTTATTATTCACAACAGTTCATGAATTTACTAAGGTTCTTGACAAAGGTGGTCAGATTGATTTAATACTTTTAGACTTTTCCAAGGCATTTGGCAGAGTAGTGCATTCAAAGTTAATATTAAAAATGAGAGCACTTGGATTAACCACGCACATTATTCACTGGGTTAATACCCTTCCAATCGAAAATGATACATTAACTTTGACAAATCCAGTTCGCAGTTTTTAGATGTGCACTCAGGAGTTCTGCAGGGGTCCGTTCTGGGCCCTTTTCTTTTCATCGTCTATAATAATGACATTCAACATATAGCGGACCAGCCTGTTCATTTGAAATTATTTGCAGATGACTGCATCATATTTATGCCTGTAAATTCTGTACATGATCAAATCACCTTGAACAGCACTTAAAATAAATTGTCAGAATGGTGCAACAATGGGAAATGGTAGTTAACCTTCCGAAACCTGTGCACATGAGCATCACTAACAAATGGAACCAACTTTCTTCTACCTACTGTATACAAAATAACCCCCTTGAAGAAATTCAGGCAAGCAAATATTCAGAAAACACTTTAACCTCCAGTCTCAACTGGTCAACCGATATAAATGACATATGCTCTAAGGCTTGGAAAAAATTAGGCCTCCTGAAACACATGTTGGGCGAATCCTCCCCTTCTCTTAGGTTGACGACTGGCAAAACAATTAGACCCTTTTTGAAATACGGCAGTGCTGTTTGGAATCCTTATACCCAAGTTGACATAAAAAAAAAAAACTCGAAAAAATTCAAAGATTAGCTATCTGCTACGTGCACAAACGTTTCAGATGCCTTGATTCACCATCAGATATGCTACAGATGGCCTAAAAATTAGAGCCACTATCTGAAAGAAGAAAACGGATATGCTTGAATTTCTCATCTTCGCTTTATTTTGGTAAGCTCAGAGTAAACTCTGACGATTACTTTCAGAAACACTTCGGTCGAGCTTCACGTCACAAGCACAGCCATTGCATCAAACCTATATTCGCAAGAACTAATTTATATAAATATTCATTGTTCCCTCGAACAATCACACAGTGGAATTAACATCTTCTTTACCTTTGCTGCGCACAAAGTTTTGATCTTTTTGTTGTTTGTGTCTGTTTATGTGTATCCTCTCCTGCTTGGACTCGAGCACGATGGGTATGCAGTATTGCAGAAAATGAAATAAAAATAAATGTTGACATAGTGATAGCACTTAACTTTATGGGCTAGGTGGCATGAGTCTCTGTTCGATCTAAAAAGTATAGCCTTATGAATGCATCCATCCATCCATACATCGTGCTCGAGTCTTGCATTCTAGCTATCACATTCGGGAATGTGAACACGCGACCTCACAAATTTACACTTGTCTACCGCTGTGTGCGAGTGTTGATAATTTGAACCATAGTTGAAATCTGAAGCAAAATGCATTAATTTTTCTCGGTTGCTATGATTTGTTTTGAAAATTATTGCAGCATCTGGAGTTGTCTGCTTACAATAATAGAATACCACGGGCGTGAGGGCAAAATAAAAATGTATGACGATTTAAGCTTGTAAACATTGGATGAGATTGTGAAAGCCACAGGCAAGAAACGAAATTACCTAAAAAACGCAACCATGAAATGAACAATGTGTTGCATTTCTTCCTTCTGTGCATGTTTGATTTTGGCAGTCTTGATCTCTGCACTGAACATTTAATGCTTTGTTTGAGGTTTCCCTGTAAATCGCCAACAGTGTTGCCGCTGCAAAAGCTCCGTAATTAAACAACTCTTGATCATCGACAGCTTTAGCCGCTACCATTTACTTCTATGGTAATCTGAAACCTCGTTAAAGTTATACATTTTGCATATGGACAAGCTAAACAATAATAATTATTGTTGGAGTTTACCATCCCCAAAACTGTGATATGATTATGAGGAACATCGTAGTGGAGGTCTCCATAAAGTTTGACTGTCTGGGGCCAAAATCCAAGCACACAGGTCTCAAGCCTTTTTGCCTCCATTGTGTAATGCCTTCATCAGGTAAATGAATGGTATATATTGACTCTCATTGACTTGCTTTTTTTTCTTTAGGGAGAAGTGGTACACAGCAGGTTTCTTGTTTTTGATTCACAGTGAAGCTTCACTGAGTGGAAGTTGTTGTTCAAATGCAGTATATATATTACAAATTTGTGTATATGTACTTTCTTTTATGAGGTAAATAATGGTATGCATGTTTCGTTCACTTGTCTTTCCTTTTGGTGCTGGTGGTCAGTAGGTTGCTTGCTTCTTATCTGCAGTGAGGCTCAACGCAAGTCGTGTCGTCACCGGGATCCTGCGTGGCTTTGATCCGTTCATGAACCTTGTCCTGGACGAGGCTGTTGAGGAAACAAAGGGAGGAGAGAAACACAACATCGGCATGGTCGTAAGTATTCCACGTGTGCGAAATTTGGGCTTTGATTCTGACTGGTACCTGTGTTGTGCAATTTTCCAGGTTGTCAGGGGAAACAGCGTCATCCTTCTTGAGAGCCAAGACAGAATAGGCTGACACCGTGGATACAAGGCGGCCTTTTGCAGCCATTCATTCCCATCGCATTCTTCTCATTCACATTCTTGCATTATTATTTTGATGTCAATAAATATGCCATAAAACCGGGACTTGTGTGTTGCCTGTCTTTTTTGCTCTGTACAAAAGCTGTAATAAGGTGGCCCGAAGACAACGAATATATTGGTGCAGAGGCAGGTGCCTGGCAGCAGGCACATTTTAATGGGGGGAAAGGCATAAAAACACGCGTGTACTTACATTTAGGTGCACTTTAAAGTACCCTGGGCTTTTTGAAGTTAATTTGGAGTCCCTCGCTATAGTATGCCCCACAATCGTATTGTGTACAGTAAACTGGACAATAAACAATTGTATCGGGCCAGTTGGTAAGGATCCATCTTGCTAAGAAGCGCAGCCACTATAACAATATATAACAATATATATATGTGTTGTGTGTTCTTTGTTATAGTGGCTGCGCTTCTTAGCAAGATGAAACTGGACAAGTTTGAATTTATTCATTATGTTACAGCACTGAAGGAACGAGAAAACTTAACTATGGCACACATATGACACACTCATTATATGCGTGCCTTAAGTTTTCTGGTACCTTTCGTGTGGTAACAATGAATTGTGAGGTGGTTTTGGTGTGTAAAGCACTTGCAATGATAATTATTATTATATTGGCAGGCGACAGTGGAATTATGAATAGCACCTGGAAGATGTACTGTAACGCATTTACCCCGGTCTCATTATTTTGTCGCCGTTGTCTGGAAATTGCTGAAGCTGAACTACCTTCAAAGGTTGTCCCGCCGCAATTGTGTAGTGGCTAAGGTACTGGGCTGCTGACCCGCAAAGCGCGGGATCGAAGGTGGAGACAAATACTGTAGGCCCGCGTGCTCAGATTTAGGTGCACGTCCCCCCCCCCCCCCCCCCCCCCCCAGGTGGTCGAAATTTTTGAAGCCCTCCACTACGGCGTCTCTCGTAATCGTACGGTGGTTTTGGGACGTTAAACCCCACATATCAATTATTACCTTAAAAGGTTGGTATAAATGGTTAAAGAAGTATTCAGACCATTAAACCAATGCACGAGGAACAACATGACTGCAAGTTTTCTTTTCCCTTCAAAACAAAAGCACATCTTTGAAAACTGCATTGTTATGCCAAGTTTGAGCAGTGCTAAAACATCGGTATCAGCCCAGGCCGTGTTTTCAAGTTAAATTGTAAATCCAGTAAAAGTAGGTAATAGTTAAATAAAAGTCGCAGCATAGCCCGCTTTAATTCAAAGCGACTACCGATACCCCAAGTTGTCGCGTAAGAAAATAGTTCGCTACTAGTCTCTCCTTTGGATGCTTCAGGTTCTTGTAGAGCGCAAATCATGTAAAATTTTCGAAAATTAGTAGCAATTTAACGCCTGTTTTGGATTCAATCATTTATAAAGACACCCTTATATTACCAATTGGGATGTGGCGCAACGTTACAAATTGCTGTTGGATTTAGCGCGGCCTCTTGTGTTTCGCAGTTCGCGCTGCATTGCTCCATTCGGAAATGGCCGCGACTTGACTCTTCACCTTTTCGCTACAATGCAGCCGATGTTAGCTTCCCGTTAAGACGGTCTCTATTTGTTTTCTCATTGTCGTTAGATACATTTCGACATCTGCGACGCACAGAATGGATCGATTTCTCTCGGAGAGCAAGCGTAACTTGGTACGTTAGGTTTCGACTGATTGTCCTTTCCTGATCAGCTGTATTTACGTTTCGCGGCTGATATTTAGCGTTGCACGCGTCTCCGTGCTATTTGTCGCGCTATCTAGACATTTTAGGCCCAATATATTGATGACATATGTATCTAAATGCGGTATAGCCTGCGGTTTTGTCGATTGAATGTGCGCAGTATGGACCGCGGCTTTTCGCTTCTTGCGCGATGTCCCAGTTTGATCTGCGGCCACTACCCACGGCCTCTTCGCTGTTTTGCATCGGAAACCAGCTGTCGATACTCAGTTCAAAATTTTAGCCTTGCGCTGAGCTTATTAGCAGTGAAACGTATAACCTTATTTCAGCGGTCGCGAACTAACGTTCACTTTCGTTATGCCTCCAGGAAAAGCTCGACGCTTTCACCAAAGTTCACGTCGTGCTGGGGAACGAAGCCTGCGATTTGGATTCCGCCGTTGCCTCCACCGTCACGGCGTACCTGCTGCACGAGGTGAGGGGTGTCTCGTTCTGTTTTCACAGATCCACGTCTAACTCAATTTGATTGCGGTCAGCCGTGTGGCGTACCCGGGAATCTTCCGGTTTGTGACAAGCGCGCATCTTATATGCGTAACGAAAATCCGTTTTCACTTTCAGCTTCAACCGGTCGCGACGTTACTCGTCGTTCCCGTGCTTAACATCGCGAGGAAAGACGTCAAACTGCGGACGGAGATCACGTATTTCTTCGAACATGTGGACATCCCACTGGACACGCTGGTATGCCGGGATGAAATTGACCTAAAGGTAAAAAATGCCGGCCGTCACGCCCACTGCTTCGCGTGGTGAGCGTCGTTCGCCGGTTTCCGTTGTGCCATTTTCACATCGTAAAGCCATATCTGCACGCATACCGCGCGACTGGCTCTCAGCCAGAAAGCGTAAACAATTGAGCTTGGTCTTTTCTGCGGTGCTTTGTACCGCTCCTGTATACAGTCTCGGCAGTGTCGTATTTGCGCTGATTCGAGGAACGTCTCAAGCTAAAGTGACACTGTCGCACTGATTTTGAGGATAACGCATTCGTCCGAGCATAACCGAGGGTTACAAAGTGAGCAAACGAAACAGATAAAGCAAAAATAAAGTAATGGTATGAAATCATCATAATAAAAAAATTTATTGTTAACGTCCATAATCTTTCTTCATTTTTGTATGATGTGTATGACATAGTATGACCGATACTGCAGCATCGATTTTCTGAATTTTTAAGTGTTTTTTATCACTAAAAAAAACAAATGCTCTGTAATAATGTTTGCCATGCTTGCCTGTAAATTTACTATGGCGTGCTAAATGTGCATTTGTTATCAAGAAAATCCAACGAGATATACATTTTGATTCCAGCAATCACTCAACCCCCTTTACATTGCTAGTCATATGGGCATGTCTCGCTCCAGCTGACAAAGTTGAATGACATCCCTTACAGCCTAGCACAAAAGAAGGCTGTCTTTCTCGTTGCATCTTTACAGTACCTGAAAGGTGACTCTCCTAATATAATTATAACAGAATGGTTCTCATGGAATGGTTTGTGAAGTGCTTCAACAGTGACAACTTGGTAACGGGGAAAAAAAGGTTGTTTTACATATTCATTTATTCTTTTATCTACAGAAACTTCACTCTCAGTCAAAGTTGTCACTGACCCTTGTGGATCACAATCTTTTGCCCAAAGAAGATGCTGACTTGCAACCTGCAGTCCAGGAAATCATTGACCACCACAGGTTGGAGACTTCTCACAGGTTGGCATCTTTCTTGTTCTCTTTCAAAGGCCCCAGCACCCAAAGCTATGTGTGTCATTCCTATTTCGCCTTTGCTTGCTGTAGGTCATCGCAATGCTTTGGCGGCAGTGAAGGAGCAGAGATAAAGTTTTTACAATTTTAATTTGCAGTGGTGTAAGTATAAAAATCACAAGTGAGGGAGGGGTGAAAAGGGGTGTGTCCACATCCTGTAGTGGCAGCTATTCTGTTTTCACAAATATGTTTAAGTATTAGTTATATTAAAATCATGCATCAAAATAAAAATTTTGTATAATGCAGCGGCATCGGTGTCAGGTCAGAGAAAGCAGCACTGAGCAGTATAAGTGTGTGTTCAACGGTGAATTTAGTGTCTTGGCGTTTTTATGTAAGCTAGTGATCTTTAAAGATAGCACGCACATAGCCGAGCAGTTGGGTTCATACTTTGTTGTGAGTGACTTGTTCATACTTTATTGTGAGTGACTTGCAACAAATCTTCAGTGTAAGTAACGGTAGATGATTAGTGATTATTCATTTACTTTACATTTCAAAGCCCAACATATACACACTTGTGGCACGTCAGAAATAACTCATAGTATTTGAGAAAGCTTGTATCTGACAGTGCTTTTTGAAACCACTAACAGTTTTCTCTTTTGTACTTAATTTCTGCTCATTGGAAGAGTTTCGGACATCAGTGTTGGCTTTACAGAATGTGCCATCCTTAACTGTCAATAAATTGAAATATGACATTCGAAAAATAAATTTCAAGGGAGGACACTAGCAAGGTGTCGCCTAAACACAAAACGGGTCAGGATCCCCACTTCCTCAATTCTCTATTATTTATGGCGCTGTTAATTTGTTCGAAGGATCATTTTTGCTATGACCTTTGTAAGAGCACGACTACATAATATTGTTAAAGAGTATGGTTACATTAAATGCACTGTTAGTGTTTGTGATGCAGTTTAAAAAATAGTTGCTCACTTTCCCCATAGGACATAACATTGCAGTTTGATGTACTACTTTTTTTGTATAAATCTGTATGTGGCTGCCGGTTAACGTATAATGGAAAACACGATTTGGCATTTTACCAGAGTGATTTGATAGTTACTGCAATGGCCAGTCTAACGGAACAGTTCTCTTTGCTTGATAGTACTTCATTTTATCACTTGTTGCTTGGCACTGGCTTATCATAGTGCTTCACATATTTGAATGTTGCACATTGTAATAATGCATCGTTGTAGTTCTTCTGAAGCTAATGAAGGACAAGAAGATATAAATTTATGCTTTCCACATTGACAAAGTTAAAATCACTAAGCATAACGTGGAGTACTGATAGCGTGCCATCTATCAGCAACACTATCAACAAGCAAAGCGTGAACTGGTGATATCGTTGTGTCAAAATTGTATTAAGAGCATGTTGAGCATCTAACTGTGTTAACTGGCATGCGGAAAATTCTAAAAGGGACACCAAATGCAAATGATAAGTGAGTGGCATTGATAAATAATACTTGAGAAAATATCTATGCTATTGCAAGAGGGGATTAGTGATAGAGATATTAAGGTTAATGTAGGACCCGTAATATGAATCGAGCTGAACATTTTAGTACTAAAGCCTGATGACATATCCTGTCCTCTACTTATATCCGTCACTACTAGTCAGTCATTGTGAGATGGCATACATTTTTATTTGTTTTTGGAGGAATGTATCATTTTGATGCCTGCCTAGGCAGGCTGTGTGTAATAAACTCTTATTTGACAATGACTACCAATCTCAGAGGCTGTATTTTTGGTACTGCAAAAGCCAGATGCAACAATGAAAGCCAGAAACAAATCATGGCCACCGTGTTTAGATACTTTGATAGATAATGACACACTTGATGAATGTTGGAAACCTGAGCTGCCTGTATCTTCCCATCTGACTGAATTTATTGAAACCTGTAGTTCTTGCTAGCTCTATTGCTAAACTCGCTTGAACGTCAAGTAAGAAAAAATGCCATGCCCATGTGGTTTTATTGGTTCGATTTCTGGCTGTGCTTTAGGCACGCTTCAGCACTACCTGTGAGGCAGTAGTGGATGGTAATGGCGCATGTAGTGTTATCCTTCCCAGACAGGAACAGATAGTTTGGATTGCATTAGCGGTATGTGGCAGTACTGCAGCCAGAAGTATTTTTCAGGGTTGGCGTGCGGTAGCCATACTTTAGATTCATGTGTGCATTTGTATGTGTGCATGTATCACGCAAAATCTAAAAAATTTCAGGAGGCAATTGAAAGGAGATACTTGCACCCTTCACATGCTAAGGAATATCTGGGTAAAATTTCATCCTGATCTGGCTATCAGAAGTACCAAAAACATGATGTCTAATCTCAAGAAGTTGCCAGAAAATGGATCTCGAGAAAAACGCATTTTAAAGGGATAAGACAAAGCTCATCTATGTGGTGAAGATATGTTTTCTTCAATGATTTCATTTATCATGAGAGCTTGGCAATCATTATTAATTTGAACGTGTGGCTTTAGTGAACTCCTCATGAGAAATACAATGGCAAACTGCCAGGTGACGATTGATATGTGGGGTTTAACGTCCCAAAACCACCATATGATTATGAGAGACGCCGTAGTGGAGGGCTCCGGAAATTTTGACCACCAGGGGTTCTTTAACGTGCACCCAAATCTGAGTACACGGGCCTGCAACATTTCCGCCTCCATCGAAAATGCAGCCGCCACAGCCGGGATTCGATTCCACCACCTGCGGGTCAGCAGCTGAGTACCTTAGCCACTAGACCACCACGGCGGGGCCAGGTGACAAGTTCCAGGGGACTCCAGACAATGAGCACTATTTAATTTTTGGTTGGCACCTTGTGCTTTTTAAAAGTGGTTTTAACCTACTTCCAGTTTAATTACAACCTTCAGTTTATTTTTGTTGTGAAAGTAGAGAAGCCAAACTTGTGAAAGCAAATGAAAAAAATATATGCAATTTGGAAAATCTCTGATGCACTGCACAATGTTGTGTACCATGGGTACATCTGTTTAATTGAATATGCACATTGTTATGTATTTGTCTTGCAGGTGTGACAAGACAGTTGAAATGGTTGGGTCATGCTGCACTCTGGTAGCCGAGAAAGTTTTCCACTCTAAGCCAGATCTGTTAGCCCCTCAGGTTGCTCTATTGCTTTACGGTAAGCACACTGTTTTGCTTGCTTGCTTAGCACCTTTGTTTCTCACTGTATGCTTTTGCTTAATATATATATATATCATTGTGCTGATAATTTGAAGTTTTTTATTTGAATGTACTATTACCACAAGTCCAGAACAGGATGGCAGATTGGCTGGTCCCACGTCCCTGTTTAACATAAGCAGCATCATAGCAAAAATGCTCAATGCATACACTTGTAGTAACATTAAAAGAAAAGGAAATATGTCCAGTAAAACAAACAAAAAAAAGAAGAATTTGGCAATTGTAAATTGCAGTGAAAATATTTTTTTAGAAGACATAAAAAAGTTTACATTCACGATAACAGTTGTAGTATTGTATTTTTAAAAACAAAGCATATGTTCTAATCACATCGTTTTATATAACCAGCCACAGTGGTTCATTGATTATGGTGATCGCCTGCTGACCCGCCGGTCGCGGCATCGAATCACGGTCACCCCGGCCGCATTTTTGGTGGCATTAAAGATGCTTGAGGTCTGTGTGCTTGGATTTTAGTGCACATTAAAGAACTCTAAATAGTCAAAATTTCCGGAGCCCTCCACTACGACGTTTCTGGTAATCATATGGTGGCTTTGGGACGTTAAACCACAACAATTATTGCATTGTTTATGTTGAGGGAAGACAAAGTGTTTGAAGACCATAGTTTGTGTGTGGGCACAGAACTTATCAGTGTTTAGTGTGCCAGTTTAGGCGAGAAGATTCATCGGCTTTCAAGTTCACGTTGTTTATGTTGTGAGTGGTACCTCTAATCGTTTTGAATTCGAAAAAACATATAAAGTGATACTACTCATATAGGTGTGACTTGCATCACCAGATAATGCTCCTAAACAAACTGCATGAAAGAGTCGATTCCTTCCACTTGTCCGTAATTTTATCAACACCGTTCCCCTGTTTGTGGACGATCCGAGATGAGAAAACAGTGTTCACCTGCGAAAACATAAGGGAGTTCAAGCCATGCGTAGTATTGTAGGTACTAATTTGGCCCACGATTTGCTGTTACGACTAATACTGAGTGTACTAGTAAGTGCTGGTGCTTAATTTGGCAAGCTAATTAAGGTTATTATCAAAATATACTGGAAAGAAGTGTGGGTATGCACATATATGAAATTTGCAAATACTGCTAATGATAAAGTTTCTGATATATTTTATTTATTGATAACAGATATATAATGACGCAAGTGCAGTTGAAGATGCATTTATTTGAGTTAGTTTCTTTCTAATCTACCAATGCATGCTAAAATTTTTGCTGCCAGCAGAATTTAGCACAAAAAGTAAGTTTTTTGCCACAGGATGACAATGCAGTGTTGATGTTAAAGCCTGCCTCAGTTGCAAGGAGTACCCATTTCTGTAAGGGCGCAGTGCATGCTTATTTTGCTATAAAAGAAATTGGGGGAGGCAGCAAAAAGAAGACCAGCTAAAATAAAAGTGCTCTTTTGGGGTTAACAGAGGATTAGAGTTGGTGAATGAAGTTAAATTAGCTGTGCCTTCCCACTAGTTTTCCCCGTGCAGAAATCTCAGTTGCGAGGCGCCTCAGCGTGGTGTATCACACTTATTTTAATGCATTCCATCGTGGCTCAATTGGTAGGGCATCGGGCCCATAAACCGATGGTTGTGGGTTCGGATCCCACCGACAGAAAGGATAACCATTTCTACACTGCAATTCATGTTGATTTATGTCCTAGTTATCCATACTACAGTTGAAGACTGCAATTATTACTGCCTATGTTTTCCTTGGTCTTGGTTTGTTTGATTGGTTTCACAATGTCTAACAAAGAAACAAGCCCCTCGAGAAGGGGGGCGGGGGGAGGACCGTTTTCTGTTCTTGATAACATTTTAGCACACTGTGGTAGGTCACTGAAATTTGCTGCCAAGTGAAACGTGGGATTTTTACAGACCATGGGGGTGATGGGCCAGCGCCGTGTTTGATTTGGTGTTTGGAACTTAGAGCCATGGGCATTTTATGCGCTCTTCCTAGTTGCTATTTAAATTCATTATAGTTGTCATTGTGCTATGTTATTAAAAATGCAGTGGTTCATATACTGCAGTTCAATGTAGTAGTTCACAGCCAGATAATGGTACTTATCACACTGAAGAAAACCATTAGAAAGAGTTTTAGACAAAAGCATGGCTTCAGAATGCCAGGTTGCAAGTGGCTCTACATGCAGGAGAAAGAGAGAAATTCTATGCTCTTGGTATTTTTTAAAACGTCCTAGCAGACTGTAATCAACTGTTTTGTTTTTGTTGGATGCTAGTGCAGCATCGCCCTTGCTCTCTTACGGTTATATTTGGAGCACTGCACTGAATTAACCTTTGAGCTTATTGCTGGACTTGGATATGGGCTGTCCGAGCACATCAGTGCTAATGGCACTTTGATGCTGTACAGTGATGCACAGGTTGCTGAGACCACACATTTAATGTGCATTACTTATCAATTTGTTGAATTACTGGTGCTCAGCTCACCATTTACTGTAGTGACATACTTGGACTCAATTTCACTTTGGGCATCATACTAACACTGTTCCAAAACCTGCAAATAAATACATGTCTATTATTTTTTCCTTTCAATTTGGTATTCACAGTATGATATTTAATTTGTACCTAAGATATTGATATTCATGTACCTTTATAAATTAATAGCAAAGAAAAACTGCATGTGATATTAGGGACTCTATATTGTGAATTTCAGTTAGTCAGCTTATCTTGCATAGGGTGTATGTTTATTAATGCTTAGAACAATGCCTGTTCAGCACTGAAGGCTGTTTATATAACATTCCTTAAATGTGTGTGTCCTTTTCAGGCACTATACTCCTTGACACAGTGTGCCTCTCAGAGTCCGCACGGAAAACGACAGTGAAGGACTTGGAAATGGTGTCTAAGTTGCAGGCGTTACTTCCCGACCTGGGCAAGGAGGAAGTGTTCAAGCCACTGTGTAGAGCAAAGTCTAATGTTGAAGGTGAGTTGCTGGATATCTGTAGTAGTTATGAACTTTCGTTTTCGGCCCATCAAAATATCTTTACGCCATTATGATGGCCAGACCTGTGTTTCTACTTGTTACAGAAACCCATGTGGACTTCACAGAATGTTTTTTTTTCTTGCAATTTTTCGAAGATTATTCTTTTGCAGTTGAAGCAGCATTAATGCTCGTCTGATTATTTTAGTTTTGGATTGGTTCTAAAAAACCTCCTTCGGCATGTGCCGTTCTTCTTGGCTCTCTTTAATGTGCTTTCAGGTTAAAGTCTCTTGTTTGAAATGTTTGCAGGCCTGACTTTGGATGAGCTGCTTCGCAAGGACCTCAAGGCCGTCTGTTCATCATCAAAGCGCATAGCGATATCATCGGTGCCTGGAGAATTGAAGGTATGTGACTTGAATCTTTTCCGGGCAGCGAACTTGCATTCCAAGGCACGTGACGGAGGTATAGTTCCAGCTTAGATCTTGTAATTTCTTTTTTTTTTTAAGTTTCTGCTTTAAGCCATCATAACTCATACTTATTCGCTGGTGAGAATATGCCGTGTTAAGAGAGTTTGTGAAGATAGCCATTTTTGTTATCCAAAGTGAAGAAAATGCTGTCATTGCTGCTTACGCTGAAATTAAGCACGACCTCTGAGATGAGGAGGCTCCTACTGTCTATCTTGGAGGCTATTTGCCAGGCCTTGTGTAAAGGTGACAACCACCAGATTCATGCATTGTCTGCTTAGGTGTTGTTTGAAGACTGATTATAAAACAGCCTGATCATCACCAACCCTTGCCAAGAATGCTTCAGTGGCGTATACAACTCGCCCACAATGATCTGGAAAAAAGTGTTGCTTTGCTGCAGTTGTTTCTAAAAACCCATGTCACCCATAAACTACCACTATTTTCATCCATTTACGCTGTAGTAGTTAGCGGGTAACTTCTCATGCTTCTAAGCCAATTTTTATGACAGAGTTATCAGACATGTTTGCTTTCATCCCCTTCTCTCTTTCTCTTCTGTAGAACATCTGTCAGGAGAACACGATGGAGGCAGAGCTGGGCAAGTTCTGCAAGACGCATGGCTACAGTGCCCTCATCATCCTCACCATAGCTGTTGAAGAGAAAAGCAATTCAGTACAAAGGCAGCTAGCAGTCTTCTCTTCGGACATTGTGCTCAAGCAGCAGGTAATCTACCTGGCTACGATATAGCGTATTGTAGTAGGCAACGTTCATTACTAAGGCGTGTACACAAATGTTATACATATCTACAACAAAAGACTAATGACCAATTTTTCAGGCATGCCCGATTTCCTAGATGGTTTTGAGACGCTATCATGCACTTCATAGAGCGAGTGTCTAAGGACGTATAAAACCTAAGCATCCGAAGCCTTTAGTCCTTTGACTTTTTGCATACTATCTCACCGCGATTGTTGTTCATAAATAAAACCAATTGAAGTTTCCACGTTACCTTGCAGCTTTTAACCAGGGCTTTCGTGCACCAGTCTTGTTGCAGCCAAAGCTGTTGCTAAAGGTCTGTTTTGTGTAGTGAAAAAATTGGCAGATCCCACGTACCGTGGGAATCGATGATATGCGAAGTACGAATAAGAAAGGTTGATATGTCACATTAAAATCAGCACAACATTACGAGGTGGAGGTAAATGATGTTGTACATGACTTCCGTGTCATGATTATCATGTTTGGATATGTCGTTTATTTTCACCTATTCATGTCACGTGATACCAAATTTAGTATATGGGGAGCCGCGAGCACGCTATGAGCGTGGTATGTTGTCATGTTCTTACATGGCAAGCGTGTCAGGTATTATCATGTTTGCACCAGTCACATATTTGGTCATCCATAAACGTCACGTAACACCAAATTTGGTATATATGGAGCTTGCAAAACGGTCGCGAGTGCATCATGAAGAGCGCAAAATACTCCAATGTAGCGTTGACGTGTGCGGACGCTGGGCATAGCGATGCTACGTTTGCAAAATGCGAGCACTCGATAGTCTGACGCCAGACGCGATCGGCGCGACCAGCGTCCGTCTGCGCGGCTCGACGGCAACCGCACACTGCGTCAAGTCGAAATGTATTGGCGCCTTGACTGTGGTATGTAGTCATGTTTTCACATGACATGCATTTCGTGATTATCGTGTTTGCACCAGTCACATACCTTCGTCATCCATTCACTTACCGTAATACCAAATTTGGTATATGTGACGCTAGCGAAATGGCCGCGAGCGCATCATAAGCGTGGCATGTAGTCATGTTGTTACATGACATGCGTGTCATGATTTTCATGTTAGGGTCTGTTGCTTGTGTTTGCCATGCAATCATGTCATACCACACCAGTTTTGCAACATGCCATGTGAACAAAACCACCACTAGAGCTGCAGGACCATGAAATGTAATTCATGACATACATGCCATGATTTTCATGTTATGGATAGATAGATTGACAGATAGACAGACAGACAAATAGATAAATACGCTCAAAGTCGTCGAAGTTCGCAAAAAAATGCTTCGCATTTAAAAATCTTGCAGTAAAATACTACCACTTGAGGGAACATCGGTTCATTGAACCATTCAGTTGACGAACATTTTCCAGGTCCCCTGCCGGAGTGCCATTACACCCACTGCTGACACATTTCAGTTCAACGTAATGAGTGCAGTGTGCATTTCAGTTTTACGTGCGTATTGTGTGTCACGAGCCATTGCATCTCATATCATGGTCATCAGAAATCGTCTGAAATATGGGGTACAGACTGCTCATTGGATTTTGAGGACTATGCCACCTATGAATTTTGTGTTTAGACATCAGAAAAGATTGCAGCAAGTGTTCTACCTCCGGAAGAAGAAGAAAGGGAGGAAAAGAACTTTTTCCTGTAGTACATCAAAAGAACTTCACTTTTCCCTGTACTTGGAAAAGTGAAGTTTTTCGCTTCCCAACACAGTGTTGGGCTAGAAAGGTTCATGAAAGCTGGGACACCAGTAATTCAGTTCATCACGTCTGCAGTCCTAAGTACAATGTAAAGCAAAATATTACTGCATTCTTCAAAACATTGTATAAATGTGATGTAAAAATACACATTCAAACAAGCAGCATTGCAAATAAAAGGGCTATACATTTATTTCAAATGCTGATGTTTTCTTCAGCTCTAGATAACCAGCCTCAACTTAGCTATTTCAGATCAGCAAACTTCAAGTTTGATGAATTTTTTTCTTGGGTACCTTGAAGTTTGTTCAAGTGAAATTTCACTGTATGTACTCATTCTTGCATTGTAGTGAAGCTGACCCAAAATGGAATCATTACGTGCTTTCACCTGCCACCTCCTTTTGCGTTACGAACCCTGAGGTGAATAAAGTGTTCCAACAGGGTTTTGGAGCTGTTTGAGATGTGATTTGACTGATTTGAGCCAGACAGTAAGAAGTATAAATTCATTATCATGGAAGATGATTGTGTTCAAAGAGTCCTAAAAAAAATCGACTTCTACTTTACAGTAAATGAGAAGTTGAGAACTTAATGCCATCTGGTAAAAACAAATCATTAAGTTATATAATGCCTTTCTTTTTTTTTCTCTCTTTCTCATGCTGGCAAGTGGAGCCATGTCATGATCCTTGTGCTCCCACCTGGGACTGATTGCAATTGAAAGTGACTACGCAGCTGCATCTGATGGGGATGGAGTCTAACCAGCAATGTCTCTGTCCACGATAACAAGTCGCACTAGTGTTAGTGTAGCTTGGAGGCTATAGCCATCCTAGCATCACAAACGCTGCTTGCAATATATTGTAAACCAGTTTAGATTCCTTTGTACTCCCAGCTATTAGCATACACTGTTTTGCATTACAATCTCACCTCGCTACAACAAAGTTGAACCTTACACAAAAATAAGTTTGTTATATCAAAAAATTCGTTATAAGGGTATATTCTGAACACTGTATCTATTCAAAGACAATTCATCATTTGTTTAGTTATAACTGATATTTCGTTATATCGAGGTTTGAGTGTATGCTGAAACGCCACATCAAAAGCTCCATATTTCAGAAGGCTAGATTGTGCTCCATAGTGTTTATGCTGTCTTAGCGTTAGTGACTTGTCAGATCGGCACTAACTTGAGCATTACGCAATATTAAAGTTCTCTATACTATATGCCCTCATTAATCGTAACCTGAAGGGTCCAGAAAAATATGTTCTATTTAAGAGGATTTTCTTTTATTGAGAGATGACTAGGGGGTGCAGAATACAAGAATGAAAACAATCTTGCCAGAAGCACTTGTTCTATTTATTTCCGTTTACTACATTTTGAAACGTTCACAACAGATTTCAGACTTCATTGATCCTAGCCTATCTATTAACCTTATTAGCTACGTCTCGCATAAAGGGGTACTTGCTCTAATTAAATGGCATACTACTTTCCTGCATACTGCAGTTGACTTCGACACTGTTGGCTGTGGGAGACCCGTCCCTGGATCTTCAGGTTTCGCACATGTCAACAGACCACCTCATCACGTTTGCCCAGGGCAACACGCAAGCTTCAAGAAAAGTCATTCTCCCAGTTGTGAGAAAGTTCCTCAACACCCTTGGTGAGCCACAGCTCTGCACTTGTCCCACAACACACGGCAGCCCTTAGGTCACGAAGGAGGAATGCCCAAGTTGCACCCATTGCATGTAGAGTGATGACTGTACTGTTCCACTGGTATATTTGCAGAAACTGCATGGCACGAACATTGGTTTTACGTCTGTTGCTGTTCTTAAACACTTCGCCTGCTTCTAAGCAATTGCTGCATGTTGTCACTGCCGAGGCAGCTTCGTAGTGATGCTACAGTTAAACCTGGATATAACGAAATTGATAAATTTTTGAAAAACTCTTTTAAAGAGGATTTTGTAATGTGCTGGTTTGGTGCGAAAATTCCCAAAATTAATGCACAAATTAAACAAAAGGGAGACTGAAGGCAGAGCTTACTTAAAATACAAATCTAGCAGTAAAGAATTGCATTAATATTGCGACAGCAATCATAAAAACACTCTCGACAGGTTTTTGCCGTCGCCGCCATGTTCCATAACAAGTATAAATTGATAACATGCCCCGCGCATCGTAACTTCCACGAGCGGGTAAAGGTGTGCGAGCGCTGCTGAAGCCGAGATAAAAGAAGTCAGCCCATTTCTATCACCTGGAAGGGGCATATGATAACATTTCCTGCGTGTTAGAACTGCCGTCAAAGGCTCGAACAAAAAGGAAACCATCCATCTTGATTGAGCATCGTGAAAAACGCAGGGAGGCGGGGGGGGGGGGGGCTGACGTTTGAGTAGCAACAATAAACTTTGATTTTAAGGGAGGTCGCGATTGCTGGCGCGCGTGCTATCTCGGCAAGTATCAGTGCACTTTCAACGCGAAGAGACTGCGTGAAAAGACCGCTTCTCCCGGGAGCGTTTGTATTTGCTCACACCAGCGTTTGTAGGAGTTCTGCGATGTCGAATCCAAAAGAGTTGGTTGCCAGCTGTACTTCGTATAACATTAGAATTTGTTGCTCTCGCATTCATTGAATTGCATTCAATGCGCCTTTGTGTTGCCAGAGCTAATCAGCTAATCACGAAGGCTATGGTTCCTCAAACTAGCGGCGTAAACGCCAACGCCTGTCGAGTCCAAATTCAAAGATCCGTTGTTGTCGCTGTGGTCTCGAAGAGTTTCTATCAACGCCTAATCTGACATCCCCTCGGTAGTGACGACACGGTTGCCCGCATTAAAAAAAAAGAAGAGTCAAAGCTCAACGTTGTCGGGGGCCACACCATGCGCGCGCAATGCACGCGCCCACGGCACCAAAAACGAAGAGTGAACGACATGGATACAGCGGAGAACTATTTGGTAAAGCGCCCTCCATATGCAGTGCGGCCCCACATACGTGATGCTAACTAAATGTGTGGCACTGCCAACGCAGAATTTGTTTTCTTTGTTTTTTTTTTTTCATCCTTTTTCGTTTTTGGTTTGGAGGGAGGGGGGGCACATCCACGCATGGGCCCGCGGCAACAAGAACGGTGGCAACACTGGCCCGTGGCCCGCATGCTCACCCGCGTGCAATAACGAGCGCTCGTTTTCGCCTGGTTGTCCCTGGCACCGCGAAAGACCCGTGCGCGCCGCCGCTGCTTTGCACTTTGTCAGCGGCGGGGTACTTGCGAAAGATGCATGCTCGTACCAAAATGACAAAATCCGGGGCAAAATTTCTAGATTGTCTGTGGGGAAAATTCGTTGTATCAAGGTTGTCTCTCGCTGTTACATTGTTACGTAGAGGTCGCAAATACGTGTGCTTCTAGGGAGCAACAGCGAGGAAGAGGAAAACTTTGTCATATCGAATAATTTGTTATATGGTGGTTCATTGTAAGCGGATTTAACTACAATGAAATGAGCTGTGTTCAAATGTTTCAGGAAAGGGAAGCACTGTAGTTTATTTTGAACATGGTACTTTTCACTTGCAACCTAGTGCACTGGCCAAGTGTGCCTCTACATAATTGTTGAAATGTAGCCTTTGGAAACTGTATTGACACATGGAACACCCATTCTACTGTGTGCCATGGTGAAGAAGGCACTTGTACACTAACACTGAAGAATTGACTACTTTATAAAAATTCGTAAATTGAGTAAAACACATGTTCCAAAAATCTAAAGAACTTGTGCAAAGGGCTGTGGTTCTCTAGATGTGCAACGTGATAGTAGTGTTTCAGAAGAACAGGCATATGGGCATGGTTGGATGTAGCATGTAGTGTCTTGAGTAAGTTTTACCATGTGAGACATTGTTCATGCTGTTTGCAGCAGTATGTTCGCTGGTGGGTTTTGTGAACTTACTTGGCTGACCACTATATAGATGCTTTTGTATGTTAACATATACATTCATCTACCATCTCTCTGCGACCCTTCGTGGTAGTCTAGTGGTTAGAGTGCTCTATTGCTAATCGGAAGGTGGCAGTGGTGGCTGCATTACGATGGAGACAAAATTCTTGATGCCCATGTACTTAGATTTAGGCGCGTGTTAAAAAATCCTAGTGGGCGAAATTTCTGGAGCCCTCCACTGTGGTGTCCCTCATAATCGTAATCCACTGTGGTGTCCCTCATACTAGCCTAGCAGTTAATGTAACTGCTAACTCTGTGCTTGATTGAGAAGCCTTTGTTTTGCACAAGTGTTGATTTTCTTTTATTCGTGTACACACGAAATGCAGAAATGATTTTATCGGACAGCCACTCAAGTAATGTGTGGAGAAAATACAAGTGCATTAACTTCTAGCGACACTAGGAAGCAGGATGTTTGTTTAGGGCTTGGAATTTTTATGAACACTGCTATAATTTGGCAAGCCAAGAAGATTGATGCACTTAATTGTCAATTCCCGAATTCATGGTAAAAGGCCAGTACCACACTTACGTAAGCTACATTTGTTAGAGCATCTAGCAGAGTTGAAAGTCATATGGACGAGCTATCTACCAGCATTTTTCTATTTTGAACTGTTTTCTTTTTTTTAGTGGTGATTGCTATGCTAACTACGTCTTAGTTTATTCTCTTAATCAAATTTAATCAAAATCGGGCAGTAGTTTCTAAGAAAAGAATTTATCAACTCTGACTTATTTGGATAGGAGTTTTCTAGCGATAGCTGCGTCTTGAAAGGTGTAGGCTTGTCCAATTAAGAGTTAGCACTTTTACCGTTCCCATTGTTTCATCTACCTGCCTGTGCCTAATTCCATCCTCACAGCTGTACCATTTTTCAACAAGTGCAGCATGCCAACTAGAAACTAGCAGCACTGAGCATGCAAATTATACTACATGCATGGCTGGCTGTTCTGTTACCTAACAAATGCACAACTTTCATTCTCAAGCATCTTGAAGCTGGACACCTATGTTTTCTTTACCTCAAACAAGGGCAAAAAACAAAAACGTCTTGCTTTGTTTCACAGTCTCATCTCCACGATCACCAAGACCATTACTGTCAAGTCTCTTCTTCGTTTGGCTACCACAACATCGTCCGTTCAGTTCTTTGTGTACTCATCCGCAAGGCAGAAAAACTACTTTGAAAAAGGTTTTGCCAGTTGTAGATTGTAACACAGTTCAGCTGCGAAACTATTCACATAATTTACGTCATACAAGGGTTAGAACTTGCTTTAGAAGTAAGTTTATTCCTTTGAGCATAAATATATTCAGTTTTGTGGTCTGGGAAATGCATAGCTTTTCTATTCTCTGCAATATGGGTAACAGCCATTGAGGCAGTTCTTCCAGCTAAGCAATTTCTAATAAAGCTGGGACGTAAACATCATGCTTGAAGTTTAGACGGCACAAATGTGATAATGTCATGCAGTTCCAAAAACAAGAGAAGGAAGTGTTGGCAAAAAGTAATGTCGGAAATAAGAGGCATTGATGAGAAGCATTAGAGATGCTATTAAAATGAGCACTGTGTTCCTTATGTTTTAGAGAACCGTACTGATGCACTGAGCTGCGACATTTCATGCAAAATAAAGCAAAAGTGAACCTCTTTCATGTCTTGTTTTTATTTGCCTTGCACAACTTCTGTTGCTTGCTTCAAACACACTTCCAGAGTGCACATTAGAGTGGCACATGCCCTCAAAGCTGAAAGTCTGCACTATTTACTGTAACATAAAATGTATAAAAGGAAAAGGAGCAGATTTGATTGCAGAATTCAGTGCAGGGGTCGCGAGCACCCAACCATAATTCACCATCATTTCTAACGTACGCCAAATTTTCTTAATTTATGCAGTTATAAATGATGAATGAAACTCTTTTGGTTGTTCATTCTCTAATTTTTCACGATAGCAGATAGTAATGTGTAATGGCCATTTCATCAGACCTTTGTAACAAAGGTTATTCCACACTAGCTGCAGTGGACTGGGTGGTATAGTCCAATATGTGTCCAAGAGGTCAAGGACGTGTTACCCGAGCAAAAACATCGCACACGAAATTTTATCAATGCTTTACGATTTGAATGAAAGGAAAGACTCTCGCGTTGCATAAGTATTAATATTCTGAGACTGTCAGTGGTTGCGCTGTGTTACTGGGGAGGGTCAGTAACCGACACCATGCCGCTTCATAGTTCTTGCTATTTTTTACGCATGTGCTGCTGTTCTAATGGTGTGATACGTGACACTTCTGCTGAAATCACATGCACTTGAGCTGTTGCGGGGCAAATTGATTGATTGATAAATTCTTTTATTGGGAAAAGGAAGGACCAAAGGTCAGTGATGTGAAAATAAAATCTCGTGTACCAGGCACAGTTTACTGTTGCTGTTTGGATGCCTGTTCACCAACCACTGTGATCAACCTAGGGAATCTGATCTTCGGATCTGTCTAAAATTTTGCGTACTGCATTCCTAAACACATTTCTGCACCCAAGGAACTTCACGAGCAGGCCAAAAAGTACGATTCATCTCATAGCAGCTGCAATATTTAGATAAGATTCCAGAAACTTTGTTGCCAGAGGCAGTAGCTTGTTACTATTGAAGTTCTGGTTTCATGTTCGAAATGCAAGCCTTACGTGCTTGAACTTTGCATTTCCAGCACATTTTTTCAATAAAAATCCTGCATTAGATATGAGAAAAATCTAGTGAAACGATACTAGCCGAGTTGACAAAGAATGAGAAGATAGGGACTCGTGTCTCTCAGTTTCAATAATCGCTTCCCACATGTGCATTATTCGGGTGAGTAAAAAGATGATTTGCTGCGTTGTGAACGTAAGTTTCAAAATAACAAAAATGAAGATCTAGCTTTAACATCACGACCCGAGTTACCCATAGACTTCAATTATCTGTTGGTATGCAGAATATTAAAGATCGATTGCAGCATTAGTGCCATTGTATGCTGTGAACGTCTGCGAGTCTGAAGCCCCTCTACAGGAGTCATTTGTGCAACATTCTTAGAATTCTGTACTAGGCAACAAAAAAATGTACATGAGCACATGCTCTGATACCGAGAATGAACACATAATCTGACAAGAAAAAGGAATTGGGAATAACTGCGGGTCACTGCAACCTGCTCAAATCTTTTACGAGACAGCCATTATTTTTTCTCCTCAGTGCTGTGCCCGAATGCCCAGTGACTTTAGGAGCACACAAAATTAGATCGCAGTTAAATCTTAGGCATGTGCTCGTGTATGGCTCAGCAGCAACATAAGTAACAAAAACACTGCACTGTTAGTTAGTTGCATATTATATTACTAGGTTAGGTCATCAAATGTTTGCTTAATATTTGTTTGTGTTTAATGGTGTTAATGCTGATGATCCTGAGGTATGAGGCAGCATTACAGCGACATTTGATAGTCGTTAGCTGACTTTTTCGTGGGTTAGTCTATCAGGGTAGGAAAAACAAGTTTGAAAGTGTTGTGCAAACTGAAGTAATGCACTACTGCATTGCATAAAGTGAAAGCTCATTAAATTGGTAGCTGACTGCACTTTTGCTGCCATTCCTGCTGCTACAGTCGAACCCCTTTATAAGAGACATTCATATAAGATACACATGGGTATAAATAGACATTAGTGTGCCTGCAGTAAAATACGATTTGATATGAAAATGCATGTAGGGTCCCCTGCTCATAAGAAACTTCTCATATAAAAGACAAGAATTACTGCCTAGAGCATGCCACTTTTGAAGGGTTTCAAGTTTTGCACAAATATCAAGTGTGGTTGTGTGGAAAACTATCCTGTTTCAGCATGTGGGCCAGCATATTGCTCTGGTTGTACTTCAGGCCTGTTGTAAGTAGACACACAGAGAATTAAGAAAAAAAAAAGCAGCCTAAATGTACTTTGAGCTGCTGTTAAAGCTGAGAATGCTTCATAAATACTGCACTGTTAAAGAAATATATTCTTCAATGAAGTTCAGTGATTGAGGTAGAATTTCACGGTCTAAAAAAATGTCAGTTTGATTTTTCTACAAAGCTGAGCAGCTCCACGAAATCACGGACAAACATGATGATAGCACAGGTGTACCTGTTAGTATGCGCACCACAGATGTCATCAAATGACTGCATAGACATCAAAAGAAATTAAAGAGGTTTATGCTGTGTGAATCAGGGTATTCAATGCCACTGATTTTGTGCATTGCTTGCAAATGTTTTTTTTTTCTTTTCATTTTTACATCATTTCTTCCACTACCCATTTGGAAACATACAGTGTGGTATTCATATGTCCACAGGATGACACTATATTCATAAGGAGATTACATGGTATGCTCCTACAATAGGAGGACCATATTTTCACTAAAATCGCAGTGGGGGAAAGTAACAGCAATGAGAAACATGTAGTGCAAATCTGCTCTATTTGAAATAAACTATTTAATTTTCAAAATTTTCAGTCCGCTGTTGCACCACATTCTCCTGTCTCATTGCCTTTGCGCAGACGACAACATCCTCCCCAAGATGAATGAGCATTGCCCCCAGACAAATGGCACTCTCAGCGTAAACAATCAGCCTTGTGCACCAACAACGTAAGTGAAATGTCGCAACTACAGTTTCACAACGTGTAAACTGCATCTATGCTACTCATTATTTGGCTTCTCATTGAGATATTGCTAGATATTACATAACAAGCACGGGCACGAAGAATGTTTCAAAGCAGTGCTTATACTTATAATGTTCATCTGTGTTTGCTGCGGTGGAGCAGTGGTCACGGTGCTCAGCTGCTAACCCGAAGGTTGTAGGTTTGATCCTGGCCATGGTGGTTGAATTTCAATGGAGGTGAAATGGTAGAGGCCATGTAACTTTCCAATTACATACTCATTTTCGCAAAAAGCTTCCATGTTCTGTCTAATTTCCAAGGAACCATGGTCTCTTGAATTGAAGCCCTGTTATATGGGAGCCTACTAGGGGTGTGCGAATATTTGAAATTTTGGATATTTTTCTAATAGTGCTTGCTATTTGGCTCGCTCTGGAATTTTACTGTTCGAACTATTTAAACTTCTGAAAGAAAAGTATAGTCAATATCAAATTAGCAGTGGCCCCTTCAGGTTTTCTATATGCTTCACCCCATCTCATTTTTGTATTGCGACAAAGCTGTATTTCAGGTTCCACTATGGTCGCAAATGTGCTGTCTCGAGATAATGTTTGTTCTCGCATAGAGATGATAGATGTGGCATAGGTGGGGGCTCAATACTGTTTTGGACCTGATATTCCGGCAGGAAGTCTGCAGATGCCAAAACTTTTTAGTATCCAAAATTTCAGGTGGTCTTTTATGTGCTTGACGTCTGTGAGGCAGGCAGGAAGGGAGTACACTCTTGTCAGCCACATCAGTTGGGTTTCCATAAAAGTTGAAAAAGCAGGAGAGGCTGAAGAAACAGTATCATTATCTTTCATGTGTGTGGTATTGCCAGTAACACTTTGGTTCCACCGGATCATTGCATAACTCCCATACGGCCTCTGCATTGGCTTATTCTTGGTGACACAAATGAAACACCACCCTACCAGCGCTTCATCGACCGAGCCAAAAAAACAAAAACACTGTCTTGTTGCTGTGTCGTAAGAAATTGTGTGAGAATCCTCTTAGACTTTTTTTTTTCGTTCTTCACTTTCACTTCAAAGTATTCGAAAAATATTCTATTTAATTCACACCTAACCTTCAATATTTGAATTAGCTTTGCACCTGAAATGTTCCCATTCACACAGCTTTTTAGCTTGCACATCGTTATGGTAACATTGTGCAATGTTAGCTTCAAAATCCAAAGACGTGCCGCAGTTTCACAAATACATTCAGGAAAAGTTGCTCCTCTTTACCAAGTGAAGGATAAATAACACGAATGACCTGTCGACCCTACAATAAACAGTTGTTAGTGACACTTTCAATTAATGTGCCTTGCAGTAGGTGTAAAATACCAGCTTGTGAATCGCCCAGGGTCATTGGTAAAGTGGGATCATTTCAATATTAGGCAGCACCACTTTTCATGTTGTTAAAAAAAATAAAAGTCGGTATCTTATATGGTTGTCTGGATGATCAAGAGAAGGTGAGGTCGAAGTGGCGTGTATAATGACTGAATATGTGATCAGGCAGCTTGCTGTGCAAGTGTTTGAGGGTTCAATAAAAGGCATTATATGATGGTCAGTAAGTGTATACTTCCACAAGTGCAGTGAAGCACCGATCGTAGCTTTAAAGTTGAGAAGCTTTGTTCGGTGTGTATAACGTTCAGCAGCTTATAGGAGCTTTTGTTGCATTAGGGTAGTAGTTTCTTGTGTGTTGGTGTACAGTGAACTTAATTTTTTTATTCCAGAACTTGGGCTCGTACCACGAAATAGTAAGCATTGCCGAGTGCTGCATCAACTTACACATCCTAGAATTCAAGAAATAAAAGTTTTGTGCTACATGCGTTGATACTTGACGCTGTGTCGTGGCTGGTGATGATGTGTGATGTCACGCTTGACCCACCACAGCAGCTAATGCCTTAAGAACTGTCTCATGCGGTTCATGATACAAGGGGCAACGAAGGTGCTCTTTTATTGAAGTGTCTGTGTGCTATCGAAATGAAAAGCAGGATTATAAAGAAATGCTTATGAATAAGCAGATTCATTTAATTAACATTTAATATAGCAAAAAAACTGGTGCATATGTTTATAATGCCAACAATATTATTGGTAAATTTTTCTGAAAACATTTTTCACAATGTGTTGATAATTTGGGGCTTGAATGTTACTTTGGACATAGCCAAAGCCTTTCATACCAGAGTTGTCTTTGAAGAAATTTAGAGTATAATGTAATTATAATACAGGCTGAGGAATATATTTGCACCTTAATAACGAGATCAAGTTTAGGGCTTTAATGAAAAAATCACTCTGGTTTGGAATTTTGAGATGGTATGCTCATGTGGGAATATGGCAGGGGCAATATCAATACTCATATGTGTGAAAACTACAGCCATTAGTTGCTGTCATGCTTAGAAGCTCTTAACTTATGTGAAGAAATAACAGCCAACTTTTGTACATTCCAAATCAGTTCAAAAAAGAAACGGCAACTTTTCTTTTGTAATTGGAAGTTTGCGCTGGAATCATGGATCTCCTAGCTTCATTGTGATCGCTGTTTTTTATGTATTGCAGAAATTTTAGGTGACATTTTTCAAAATTTCAGGCGATTTTCGTAGCTTAAAGGGGCCCTTTAAGCTATGACTCGTGGTTACTTGACACTCGTGGTTACTTGACACACATTTTCAAGTAACCACGAAATAAATTCACTGGAAGAGCTGATTGCCTCACGAATTCAATGCCTCGAAAATTTCAAGAATCCGTCCAGTGCGAGTGGAGTTACCAAGATTTGTCGTATGCTGCAATTGCATTCTCGATTCTTTCGTCCCAACGAAAGCGCTGGAAGCTAAAGAGGGAGGGATGGCAGGGGCAAAGAAAAACGTCACGCGCATCTCGTGACTATGAGGACTTTTTTTTTTTTTTTTTTGAAATGCACAGGCTTTTCAGTGTGATTGCGTGCTCATGCGTGGACATGTCGCTTTAACAACCAAGAACGCCATGTTTAAATCAGCCAATGGCTGATAGATGGGCCTTTTACGAGTGATTTTTGGGTGTCTTCCGTGATTTTTCGAGAGAAGAGGAAGCAATTTTTAGCTGGCTTTGATCATTTATTATGAGTTCCAGGCCGTGTGCTGCGCTATATTATTTGGCTCGCGTGTTGTCGGGAGCCTCTTCTACCAATCGGCGGCATTTTCTGATCATGCTCAAAAAGTGTTTCAGGGCCCCTTTAAGTCATTTCGTAGTGCCTGTTGATAGCAAGACTATCATGGATCAAAAAGAAAAATTACGAAATTGTAATTATATGTTGGAACCACCCTGTGTGCTTTGGCAAGTATTACAAGAAAAAAAAAAAACACTGGCCCTAGCTTCTTCCCATCTGTACTGGCCACAAGTCGCGTGTACTGACCCTATACATTTGCCATTCATTTATTTCATTTCAGCGTGAGCAGTCCTGAAGACACTGCGTTACGGGACCCCCCTTTCTCACCTTCTGATTCTTCAAACAGCATGTCTGAAACTGCAAAAGATGGGTAATAACATTATTTCTTTGTGTTAATTACTTGTTTGTTTTCTGTTCACTTTAATGTCATGAGATTATGGAAACACATGGCTGATGCAGTGCACACTATCAACTTAGCAGCAATTATGGCAGTAAAATGCCCTAGCAATTACAAAAAGATAGCCGATATGGCGCATATACTTTGGAGGTGCGAGTGCGGTGTTTGCCGCCACTACTCGGACAAGCGTGAGTGTACCCCAGGATAACTGGCTGAGCGGTGGCGAAGCGCCCTTCTCAGCCCACGAGCAGTGGACCAAATCTGGGCTGTCCAGCGAGCCAGGGCTATCGCCGAGGACATCGCACGGTGCTCCACATATGACGGCTCCTGGAGGCCTAGCCCGGGCCAGTGATTCCTCATTGGATCTTTAATAAAGTTTATTACCTACTAATGTGCAAATTCTCGAGATCACAACTGTCATATCGTACCATAATTAGCAGATCAGTTGTAATGCAAAATTAAGGTGAGCAAATCGGTTCCTTATAATACTGAATTTGTTTCCGAGCAATGCTGTATGCCTGCACCGTGTATTTGGATCTGGAATTAAACTGTTACATAAAACAGTTCATTTTAAGGTCAACCTGCATTTCTAACAAGGTTTTGGTGTATCTATTTGATGTCTTTGATGAGAGCAGCTAATGTTTTAGTTTAGACAACCTAAGTTCAGGGAAGGAAATTAAAAAAAGTAGGTAAAGTGCTTTGTAATAAGAAGTTGAGAAGTGAAAGCTAAGAGAACCTCATTCATTCATTTTATTACCTCAAATGTCTCTGGTTGGGATATTACATGAGGGAGTGGGTGATAGAAAGGCTATAAATATAGCGGTTGTTATAGTGAAATGGTTTCGATGAGCCGCTTGGGTGTCGATGATGGTGGCGACATCGGTGGACATGTCATTCGAGTCTCGGGCTGTGCGCAGAAAAAACGATTGGTGAAAAGTGGCAATATGGGCTTTCAGTGGATAGGCTTTGTCATAGTGACTGCTATGGGGAAATGACTGCTATGGGGAAAAGCGGTGGGCTTTTTTGATGCATGGCCTATCTAAAAGCAAAAAATGAAAGAATTTATGATAAATGTTAGGGCATGCGATTTTGTGGCACTTAGCCAGATTGGAAAATTGACTCTGGTTTCCCCCTTGAGTCATCCGCAAGTTGCAGTGCATTGTGCAATTGTCTTGGTTTAGCAGCTGACAATCAGCAGGGTTTCTTGCAGAGGCACAGAAAAAGTGAACGATGAAAGCTTCGCTGCAGCAGTTGATGCTGACGTACCGAGTCCAGCTGCCTTCCTCTATCGAGCCCAGACTGTGGACTTCCCCGACAGTCCACACCTGAGGTCTGCTCAGAGGAAAACTGTGAGCACACTCCCAACTTTTGTTTAAAAGTGATCATTTGTTTTATTTACTTCTAAGCTTTCTTTTCTTTCTTTTATTGAGTTAATTGGCATGAAAGAAAACTATTAAACTGGTCTAGGAAAATAATTCTTAGAACCTTGAGGTGCACTGAATTTGGTCCAAATATTGTGTAGAGAGCACTGGTGACATTGCGTTGAAAATTCAGTTTGCGTTGGAAATGGAAAGTTCTAGGCTGGGCTAGTCTAGCATGAATGAAACGAATTGGCGCAGCTTGCAGTAGTGGTGCAAAGCTGGAGCATATAGTGGAGCTGTGGACTTTCACGTTTCTCTGTATATTGCTTTTTCTTTTTTCCTCTATTTTTTCCTCTCTCCCCCTCTCTACTGTTTGTTACTGGTGCCCTCTCTATTTTGCTTTCTTGCTCTTTTTTTTGCTTTTTGTTTATTTTCATTTGCTCTTTCTGTCTCTCTCCATTTCTGTATTTCCTTCTAGGTGTGCCTTGATGTATGTTTTTTCATCTTTTTTGTTTTTTCTACTTCTCTCTGACTTTCTATATTTTCTCTTTCTTCGCTTTCTTTCTGTCTCTCTTTTTCTTTTCATTTTTCTGCACTCATTGTCTTGCTGAGTTGTTGCATCCAATGCTGGACAAATTAGCACGAAGTACCATTCTCTGCTAGTACAATGTCCTTTTTTCATCTGTAATTCACACCTCCATAATTGCGAAAGGTCCTCAATAAAGCTTGTGTAGGAAGCGTACGGGCTATTGAAAATAGTGGTGGTTTTGATATTGGTTCTATTTAGTGAGTTCTATTTACTACAAAAACGTAGTATATTTTTGATAAATCAGGTAGTCACAAAACCTTAAAAGTTAATTTAAGTGTTCAACAATAAATCTTGCATTCTTCATGCTAAATATCCATATTTGTGGAAAATACCTGACATTTCGCTGTGGCTTCTTCTTTTCATTTAGGGTTCCACATGCGGGGAAGATGAAACAGATGATGAAGTTTTGTCTAGAGGGGAGCATATGTCAATTTCTGAAGCTCGAAGAGGTATTGACGATTTTTTATTTTATATATTATGGTTGGTGCTCGTGTCAAGCTGTCACAGCTGTACTTTTATCACATGGATCGAGAAACTTTCTAGCTACTAAGTAAAAAACTATATTTGCACTCATATTTCACAATTAGGGTCATTTAAGCCTACAATTCACGATAGATGCTACATGGTTTCAGAGACAAATGTAAAACAGAGATAATTTTCACAGCATCGGTATGTGATCAGTGTTTAGCATTGTTTAGTGTTACTTTGTTCAATACATGACACGTCTATTTGCGTTTGTTTTCAGTGATCCCATTATTTGCTGCACATGACATTTATTATTGCTGTAGCACTATGAATAACAGTCTTTAATGCTTTGTGATGACACAGCACCTTCCTGTTCTCCAACACCAGGCCAAGTAAGCAACCTTGAGTTGAGCCAGCCTTTGAGCCTGGCTTCAGAGCTGGAGGAGTACTACGAGGACAGCCTCCTGAGCGGGAGACTGGCCGTTCCAAATTTAGAGAAGTCACCCGCACTGCCTCCTCTCTCAAGTCACTCATCCACTCCCGAATTCGAGGCTGACGATGAGGAAGCCCAGCCTGTGTCGGTGCCGAGCTTAGGTTTTTCCTCGCCTAACAATGACTCCTATGCCCTTGTCAGACACTCAACGCCCAACGCGAGCAAGACTTCGCTAGACCTCATAGCCGAACAGTATTCTGATGACGTTGCTCGCATTAATCTACACAACTTGCCTCCTCCCTTGGAAAATGGCAACTCTTTTCTTTTCGAGGAGAAGGCCTCTGGAGAATTGCCGGATGAAGACCTTGTCGCAAAGATAAGGAGTTGCTTCGATGAGGTGAAAATCAAAGACGGCTACGTTCTAAGCGGTCGACTGCAGGACCTACTGACACCGCAGGAAGTTGACGAGATTGTCAACAACTACGTGTCGTACTCCAGCTTCATCGACGACAACATTCTAGAGGCTGTCGTGGAATTGGCTGGCGGGAGCCTGAGGAACGGCAGCGGCTGTCAGAGTCGAGAAAAGAAAGTGATTGTGCCAAACTTTGCGCCATTTTCGGACGACTCCAGCGACATTGTAGTCGTAGCTTACGAGGAGGACAACAGCGTCAATCCTTGCAGCGTCGGTAAGACGGCGACCCTCGAAAAGAAAAGTTTAGCTCACTGCGGGGGCGTTGACACCCAAGATGTTCCAGCCGCTGAAACCTTCCACTCCTTGAAGAGGATAGACGTTGAGGAGTCTGTCCTGAAAACACTGGACATGCTTCCCGGTACTGGAATTGCAAACAGATTCACGGCTGACTCGTCTCGTAGTTTGTCGTCGCTGCCGGCTAACCTTTCTTGGGAGGAACAAAAAGTCAAGGTGAATGCTGCCCGTTCAGATCCAGAACTACCGGTAGTGGCTCTCCCAGAACAACCCTTGAACGGCAGCGTTGCTCCTGCTGCTTCTGCAGTGTCTTCACCTGAGCTTGTTTTTGAAGAAATGCAGCAGGAAAATGACTACAGTGCCCCAGCAGGTTTGTGGGTCACCGCTTTACATCGGCCGTCAATAACATGCTTTCTTTGCTGTGCAGCTACTAACACCCTGACTTTTTTCTTCACCCCTACTAGTTCGTGTGCGGCTGTCCAGTTTGCAGCGTCCGGTCGTCTTGAAATTGGGGGTGGTGTTTACCGCTTATGTGCCTGCTGCTTTAGGGTGCTGTGCATGTTTCCCAAGGACATGTTTCTCAAGGCCCTCGCTTCTGCAAATCTTGATTTAATGTCCGGTTCTGGATACATTGTTAAATTTTGTGTGAAGTAGCCCTAACCACAACTATCAGTGATCAATATAATGGTATTTGATATGTGTCATACAACGTCTTTCATCTTATTCTAACCTTGAGTTAAAGAATCGTGCATCACTGCTTTGTTTTCACTCATTTTTTTTTCGCTTGGTTGTGTTTGCTCCTTGTTGACATCATTCACTGAAATGCTTTATTTTTCTTGCCTGGTCTGTCATGATATTTTAGTTTCGTAAACCCACCAAATTAGTCTTTGTACCTTCAGCTGTTCACTGGTATGGTTAAATACTCATACAGTGGTGGTGGCTTATTTTTCTTCGGGAGAAATCATAAAAGCTGAAATGCCAAGTGTTTCCCTTAATGATTTAAACAAAATGTGAGCTTTATGAAAAATTTGAGTAAGAGTCATGTAGCAATAATAGTTGCACTAAAATACATATTATATTGTAAAAAAGAAAGTAGTTTATTATATGACATTGCTTGCTGTCCCGTCCTTGTTTAGTTTCTTATCCTTTTCACTTTTTGTCTGGACTGCTCCCTGTTGTGTGCCTGCCTTACTGTGGTGCCTCGTTTCACGAAGGTGTTCACCGTTCACTGTTGCAGAGAGGCCCTCAAGCCTGAGTGGTGCCAACAGGAGTAGACGCAAGATTAAAGTGAACCCAGACATCCTTCATGCCCAGATCGGTCTTGACGATGACCAGAAGAGCCTCTCGTCGATGAGCAACAAGAGTGACGGGGACGTCTTCTCACCTGCGGACGACCTGGCAACGCCAGATATCGAGACTCCTGATGAACTGGGTGACTCTGTGCTGGGAAGTGAGTGCAACTACTGTGGATTCAGAAAAAACAAAGGAAGGTTTGGGCAGAGTATTCAGAGGTAGGCTTTCGCTTAGCTTGAGGTCACACCCTAGTAGACCCAAATCTTGACAAACAACGTCGCAACATTAAGAAAGTTGCTTCAACATTGTGGCACCATTGCTTGGTACTAAGGCAGTTCTACTCCAAATTACAGCTGCTGCATTTAAATGAAGTGTAGAACTTTGTGTGAATAGATTTATGTGAATGTCAGAGAGGTAATGAAGCACCCCTCGGGCTTAGTGAGAAAATGCATCCCGCAGATAGCAGACAGACACTGCCATGAACATCGTAGCCAAATTTTGCAGTCCTGCGTGGCAAGAACAGCTTATGAGCGGAGCGTGAATTTGCCATTTTCTCAGGTGTCCGCTTTTGATACAAAGGCCCGTGCCCACTCGCTTTAAGGCTGCCGGTTTTCATTGTTTGACGTCGAACAGTGAGTAGTATGCCAATCGCTAATAGCTGATATAAATCAAGTGCAGCGTTTGGATCAGATGTGTTTTTTCCAATGAGGCACTGCCATGAGCCAGCACAGTGCTTCATAGTCTGCTAATATTACATAATGACCCACACTCATGCACAGTAATAACGATGAGAGAAAGTGGTCGCTTTTCATCACGTGTGCTCAAGGTCATGATGTGTGCTGACATAACTTCTTTTCCATGTGCCATTCGTACCTGCTTAGCTTTCAGCTCGTTTACTGGGATGAGAGAAGAGAGAAAACACTTAAGCCTTGTAACTTTGTTCGTTCTTGGCAGATCCGACAAATTTTTGCCACTGTGGATTCGTATGGCAATAAACACCGATACTGCGGTCATTCAATTATTACTCGGAATGTTGTTCATGACCGCTTTAAAAAAAAGGAGTTGCTTGTGTTTTGATGCAGGGAAACTTCGTTCGGCCAAAAATTTGATATTGAGAATTTCGCCATTGTCTGATAGTTAATTTCTTTATCCTTCAGAAAATTTATCACACTTGAATACTCGTGGTTTCAAAAATAATTTTTAGCCCATGTTCTTTGGCACATTGACAGGAACCCTGGGTATACCTTTATGTATTTGTTTTATTTCAGACAACATTTTTGGAGGCTCGTGTACTTCTTTCTCATGAACTGTAAGGCATAAGCTAAGGAAAATTCTCTCATGGGTTATTTATTTGCATTTAGATAACTGGAACTAGAATCAGTAGCTTAGGTGCACTTGTATTTTTTTTAGTTTAAAAGAAACCATCTATAAGTGGTAATTTTCATACATCAACAAACTTAAAGAACAGAACAAATCTAGTTTTTGTAGTACGCTCAAAATTTTTGGTTGCTCTTTTATAAAGTGTTGCTCAGTAACTTTGCACAAATATGCATGGCTCTGCAAGAATTAGAGCTCAACAAAGGAACATACGGTATGTCGAGAAAATGAAAAAAAAAGAGGAAAAATTAAAACAGTAAATACATTTTAAAACTAATTATGTGCCCCAATGCAACATGCCTTTATTCTTAAAGTAATGTGTAAATTGTACAACCATAGCTTTTAGTACCACTGCTGTGCAGATGAATCTTAAAACTAATTTTCAGAGTCTCATCCCACTTTAATTCAGATCCTTTCACTGCCATAATGGCAGTGTTTGTTTAGGATGTTAAACTTCATGAATTAGGCAAAGCAGAGGTAAATTTTCATGGAGATGTTGCACAGTAGCAGTAGTTTATGACTATGTTAGTGTGTGTACGAATCGAAGTGTGTTGAAGTTGTCAATAATGGGAAATTTTAAAAATTTTGCTTATGGGTCTGCTTCTGCTCTGCATGAAGACAAGAGAAGAGGAGAGAGACGTGAATATACAGCTGTAACTGGCCGTTTGTTAGCTTATTTTAGTATCCACTTATATATACAACAGTGACGGCTATAGTTTTGGGGCTCATTACATTGATGTGTAAAACTATCCTACTTGTTTTACAGAAAAACCAACCTAAGGGTCACTATAAGTACAACAATTCTTGTGTTCATTTGGAAAACATTCAATACCTCACTATGTGATTAACGCCTCTCTGTTTTAATGGCTCCATTGCCTTATTTTGTTTTCCGGCCTTTGTTACGTTCAGTGTGCTTTATATGCTGTCGTTTTCTGCCCCGAACAGGAGATGACTCGACCCTGAGTGACTCAATTCCTGAGATGTCTGCTCGAGAAGAGTACGCAGAGGAGAGAAGCTGGAAGACTTGCAACGTGGGTGGTGTCGAACGCAAGATTGACATGAGGGTGATCGAGCCTTACAAGAAGGTGCTATCGCATGGAGGTATGCATGCTTGTATGATCTTTACCTAACTCCTGTGGCAACATATAGCGCTCGAAGACACCATTAACTAAACATTGCATTAAAACGGCTCTTGGAGCGTGTCGGTACATACTCTTCATGCGTAAAGTGTAGCGCGCACGGGATTATAGATGAAAGAGAAGAAGTAAACAGGACTATTGTTGGTGATACGTGTCCCTATTGTACCACTCCAGTGATGCAAGCAAATGCATACCACCTTATATGGACATGTCAAGGGTTACAGCCGAAACGCTCCTGTCACCTCCTTCAAGCCGGCCTTCGCTACAGCGACACAGCCAGTTACAACCGCTGGATGCATGACAACACATTCCACTAGACGCTACTTCACTTCATGCATAACACCGGTCTAATGGCGCACATTTAATACGCATACATGCAAAAAAATACTATGCCTTAAAGGGAAGTCTATATCACAATTAAATAACAAAAAAAGACTATTGCTAGTCTTGTTTTGCTCCTTCCCTTTTGTCTGTCGTTCCCGTGCACGCAGCACTTCTCATGTGCTAAATATTGCACCTTATTTCATCCTTACAGATACTCGTAAATACAGCTTTTTTCCTATGTGATTGAAAACTGCAGTTCATTGCCTGGTTGAACTTGCTCTCTTCCTTCATCTTTATTTTTAGAAGCGGAAGCTATTTAATAGTAGAAACAGTTCAGCCGTGTCAGGATGCTTTGTGAATCTGCTGCCTTCAACTCAATTTTCTGCTAGCAGGCGCGTACGACATTTGAAATGTGGCTTTGGTAAATGTTCGTTTAACCAAAGTGCGTATATGTATACAGTTGTGCTGATTGATTTCGTTTCCCCATATCCATCAGCCACGGCGGCCACATTTTCGATGCAGACAAGAATGCTAAAGGCCCATCTAATTAAAGTGCATGAAGTGTGTCTTGGGTTGTGAAAATTTCCGGATCTCTTCATTGCAGCATCTCTTATAATTATAGTGTAGCTCAGGGTCTTAAAACGCCAACTATATCATCATCATCATCATCATCATCATCATTTGTTGCCTTATCCAGTGCCCGCTTGTAGTAAAGTGCACTGTGTTTCTTTGTTTTGTCAGGCTACTTCGGAGAGGATCGTCAAGCCATCATTGTGTTTAGTGCGTGCCACCTACCTGATCGGTGCCGGAGAGACTATGACTATGTCATGGATAATCTGTTCCTGTAAGTTTTCGTAAAGCCTTCTCTGGTTAATCTTTTTTTAAATTACAAAGCTTTTTTCTGGAAGATACATATGACTTTCCTCTGTAGCTTCGTTCTGCTGTTAAGCAAATGACAATTTTTTTTAAATGAATGGATATGAAGCACGAGCGCTAAGATAATGTTCTTTGAAGTTTTGCATGGCTGATATGTATGGTGGGCATAATCTGTAACCTATTGCGTTTACACTTTATGAAGGCTCAGGTGCTTTGCTTGAATATTACACAAAAGATGCCAGATATAGTAGACATTTGGAGGTGCTCTTGAACTTTTACTCCATAAATATGTCGCATTGTTGATATGTCAACAAGAAGGCACATAGTGCATGCAATCTATGGTGCTTGAGGCAGTGTTGGGCTTTCTGTAGGGACACTGAGCTGTCCCCCCCCCTTTTTTTTTGTGATAACTATATGAAGTTCTCTCTCATACCACTGTGCTTGTATGTCACCAGTCTTAAATGCCACCGTCAACTTGACGATTGTGACCGCTCATTTGCAGATACGTTTTGTCAACATTAGACGAACTCGTGGTTGACAGCTACGTCCTGATTTACCTTCACGGGGCCACCGAGCGCAGCAAGATGCCCAGTTTTGGTTGGCTCAAGCGCTGCTACCAAATGATTGACAGGAGGCAAGCACCTATCCTATTTCTCTAGTTTTCAATCTTCAGTATAAGGGGGGGGAGGATACCATGGAAGGGCAACTTTTTTGCTTGTTGAGATATCCTAATGAAATTTTCAGGGTAATAATAAAGCCATTTGAATAACCACGAAATTTCATGCATTTAGGTTTACTGGTTCCCAAGTTACAGCGATTTATCAGGATAGTTCACATAGGTTTCTTAGTCAGGCTCTGGTGAATTGAATAAATGTGCTAGCACTGTGAAATTCACTGTGATGATTCTTGGATGGGTGCTTTACACTAGGACAGAGCCCCCTTTTTTTTTTAGTTTGCTTGCTGAAAATTTTTAGCAGAGCACTGGATAGGGTGTCTGCCATTGAATATTTATCAATGAAATTTTAATTAATTATCACAAATTACAGACACAATAAATTTAAAAAACGGCTCTGTCAGTGTGTGGGCTATGTATTAGGGTACATAATAAAACAAATCTGATAGAAATCAGATGAACAGTTGCAGAGATATCACCAGACTAAACAGCCTCACTGGCCAAAAAAGTCAATCTCAGAAAACAGACTTTGAAAGTTTCGAACACATAATTTGGTTTAAAATGACCCTGAAAAGTAGCTAGAAATGTTCTTTAGGACTTTTTTACCACTTTTCCTACCTGTGTTGCAGCTGTTTTTGAGCCTTTTTCACATGGAAAGGGTCTTTTTCCGCTGCCCGTTGGTTGTTGGCATAGCGTCATCGGTTGCTGACATAGTGCCGTGCTTTGGTTGCACAGCAACACGTTCGCTATTCTCCGCGGCTAACTCCTCGCACGTCTACGAACGTGTTGGCAATTGCACAGTCTATGGCGCGGTCGCATAGATTGGGGTCGTAATCACTGCAGTTAGCGAGCGCAGCGCATCAGGCGCACTTGAGCACGAAACACCACACTAGCCGCACTTGTCACGACGAAGTGTTGCGCTGATGATGTAGCAATCTCGAAGTTATGATAAGCGTCAATGCAGTCATCGTCTTGAAGAGACAAAGGAGAAGATGCTCAGCATCGATCAGACTGTCACCCACGCGTTCGCGTGTGAACGAGCCTCGCCATGTGTACGAGCTTCATCAGACGCTTTATTCAAGAGAACGCATGCTGAGTCCCAAACTTTGCCCTGCCCATCGTTAGTGACCGAACAACAAACAGTGTCCTGTGAACACGGCGAAAATATTGTCTAGTTAAAAATGCTGAAAAATTGAAGAGCTCATGTGAGAACCGAGCGGAATGATCGCAATGGGGACACACAAAGCACGCCCAGGGAACACTGGCACCTGCAAGGCCAGCGCCGGAGCAGACAGTGAGCTGGGGCACAGATGCATCATTGCGCACAGCAGCCAATAGGAGCTGCGTGATCGCCCACTCCTTCGAGAGGCGCACGCTTCTTCCAATCGTGGTTTCATATCTGAGCCGCAGAAGACTTCAAAACTTCGAGGGCCCCCAATTATGAGCGATTCCTGCCTTGGCCACGCCGCTGCTGCTGCCTCAGGTGGCGGAAAAAAAAAAGCAAGAATTCACGAGAAAAACAAGACCAAGATAACGGTGCTGGGCTGCGTGGTTGGGAAATTGCAAACGCGCGAAGTTGGGGTATTTTCAGTGCTCTTTGGTCACTCGCCGCCTGCCACGACTTGTTATATAATTTATTTGACGTACTTTCACTATTAAATAAACATTAATATTTATAGAACAGGTAGTTTATACGACATACTACCCGAATATGTAGTTCTCAAAAAATAGACATTTTCACGATTTTTTAATTTTCAAAGGATGCATCCCCTTAAGTTCAAGGGGCAAACAGAAAGTAGGAAATGAATAAATGCAGTTGTTACGTTAATTGCACTGGTATGACTGTAAAGTATGGTGAATGAGTAAGCTAGTATGAATGGCACCTAACACACTTGGTTTCTTATAATTTGCATGAATTATGCATGTTGACGACAAGTACTTATGACATGGAAAATACACTCTCTGATCCCTGTAATTTTAACTGCCAAACTTAGACATAATGAATCATCACTATCTGGGCTGCTACTTCGATACCCATTTCTCAAATCGGTATGTTTTATGATACTTCAATACCTTTGTTTAGTTCATTTCGAGTAGTAGCAAAAACTACTGTGTACAGGAGGCATAAGTCTGCATTTTGTTAAGCAAAGTTAGCTCTGCTTACCTTATTTGTAGTATATTACTTGAGATCACAGCAAGTTAAAATCGCTTCAAGATGACAATGACAATCAACAATTTTAGACGAACTCTTGGGACTTACGTACTCATGCAGTGCTGGGGGCTTTCCCTAAAGGTTGTTGACTCGGCAACATTTTTTTTTTTTTTGCCAAGCTTCGTTAAAGGCTAGCTCCGGCAAGTTTTCGACCATGTCGAGCTAATGATGTTTTTATGTTCCCGAGACACTCTTGTCCCGAGCCCAATAGCTAAAATGCTCTTGAAAATAATTTTTTAATAGGCAAAAAGGCGCAATACCGAAACCGAAACCAAACCGGGCACCCTGTCTGTGTATGACGTACTATTTGGTAAGAACCAAAGGCCGTACACTGGTCCCGCTGGCGCAGAGTATGAAAGCTGTGAAGGCCAGGCCAGCGAAGCGCCGGCCAAGCAGCACAGAGGAAGGAGAAAAGCTTTTCCGTGTTATACCCATGCCAAACACCACCGCAGTCGCACTGTGGCCAGCACAATGAATGCTGTAGCGGTCAAGGCAGCGATGCCATCGGCTGCGTCACTGTGATGTCCTGCCAAACTCAACGTCACACAGACAGTGTTGCCAATATTCTCGAAAGCGAGGTGAGCTTTTCGAGGCAAATTTAAAATTTATTTCCAAGCAATCGGCGGCATCTCTCAAGTCTGTAATTTGGCATAAATGACGAAAATGTGCAAAGGAACGTACCCAGCGAATTTTATTGATATCCATTGATCTCAACAATCACTGGAGTTGGTCTTTAACTATCAAAACAAAAACTTTTACAAGCTCATCAAAAGCCTTTTGAAGTACTATGTTGACAATAAACTGAGAATCTTGATTTCTTGCAGATTGCGGAAAAACCTGAAGGGGCTTTATCTTGTGCACCCCACCTTCTGGCTGAAGACTATTGTTATTATGACCAGGCCTTTTATCAGGTCAGCTCTCTTTGCACTGATTTTTTTTCACATGTGTTTTCTACTGACGTGGCATCACGCATAAATGTTATGTTTACTGAGGATTTTTATTTGCTTTTTATACTTACAAGAACTTGTCAAAATTGTCTATGAAAGACAGTAGAATTGTAGTTAGCAATACCTCACTAATTGAACCTTTGTTAATTACAAATATTTTCACTTAGATTCGTTCTCTGGTTTTGCCAGCAGATGTTTCTGTTAATGGCATTAAACTGTCAAATTCGAATAAATGTTGCTGCACCCTGGTAAATTTTATTTATGGCACACTGAGGAGTGAGAACTCTACCCGGTGGGTTCACAAGGCTTATGCACTTGGGAATGAATGCCGTGAAAGACACCCGTATGAGTTACTGTTAAAGTGTGTAATAGAATACTACATTGGCATTCCAGATGCATTGTAGATTTTTAATAACCAAAGTCGACGGAATTGTGAACATCTTTGCCGTAAGCTGTCTCACACTGTGATAAAAATAAGATTTCGAAGGCTAAATGTGTGCGAAACCAGCAGACCAAACAGCTGCTCTTATCAGTGAAATGTGACTCGATAGAGAGAAAGATTGCTTTAGAGTGCTAGCACTGGCTTGCCTGGAATGCTGCTAAACCTCATTTTTCACCTTTTCTTTCAGCTCCAAGTTTAGCAGGAAACTGCGTTTTGTATATAGCCTCGAAGAGTTGTCTTGGGTTGTGCCGCTAGACCACGTGTGCATACCTGACAAAGTGAAGCAGTAAGTGAGACCTTGCCACGTGGCTTGGGCTTGTGCATGCCATTTCTGTATCAACTGCATGGCCCTCTATGCGTAGTATTGTTGCATTACAATTATGCTGTTGATAATCACTCTTTTGTCTTGATACTTGCGTTTGCTTAGGGGAGAAACCTGTAATCCAAAGTTCATCCTGTTTCTAATGGAGATATGGTTGTCACCTTGGTCGCGAAAGATAATAGAATAGGTAGTGTGTTGGACGGGCTCCATAGGCAGCTTTTGGCATGCTGTATTATAGTCGTTTTTTTGAAATGTTACTAAAGATTTGGATGAAAAAGAAGGAGAGCGTTTAGTCAGGAAGATTTGCATTGATTAAAACAGGATTATATTAGGCTCATAATGTTAAAAGCCCAGAAATGTATGAAAAAAAGATATATTAGTTGTAGCTCGCTGGTTGCGAGGCGAGTTAGCTTCACTGCAAGTTACGGAGCCCTTGCTAGACTTTACACAGAGTCTCTGATCTTCAAAACTCAATTAACTCCGCTCGTTTTACCTAAATTACTGTTTTTATATTATAAATCTACTCTCGTTGCAGCTGTCAGACATTTTCTCTTCCAAAAACAAGAACAAAAATGTGGGTCGTGTACGTGGTTGTAAGGAGGTGAAATTGGTGACCAGTGGTTCCAGAAAAGCCATACTGCATCGTTTCAAAAGTGATGCAGTATGGAAACTGCATCAGTTTCCATACTGCATAAAGAAAAAAGGGGTTGGGAATCGGTATTTCAGCGCAAATCACTGTTATGACATGTCATCACTCGTTTGTCTTGTCTTCTGAATTTTCTATTCAGTTTGCGTAATTAACTTTGATGCTCGTCATGATTCTGCTAAAGCTTGTGTCCTAACATTTTGTAGTGATTAGTATCTTCGACATCAGTGTGTGCATGCAGTGAGAGTTTATGTACTGACACTTGTAGTGCTGCCTATGTTCACTTTTGAGGCATAACACTCATATTTATCAGTCAATTGTTGATAGCCAAAAAACCTTGTATGAATATGGTAGCCATTGGCATTTGCCTGACCATTACTTTCCCTGTATGTTGCCGAGACTAACTGCATTGTTTTTGTCCCTAACCCTCAAAAGATACGATGCTGAGCGTATCCTTGAAGGATAGGAGAGCTTCACTCCTCTTCCTGGAGGTAATTAATGCTTTTGCTTCTACCAGCCTAACCTAAAATGCTTTTGTGTTTGTTGTGTCATGACTACAATGTCTTGTTGCTTCTACATTAGTGTGTATAATGTGTTCCACAACACACGATACGAATAACTATACGATCACAGGAGTTCTACAGAGAGCTGTACAAAAGCCGAAACAACCAGGACGATATTGTAAGGAGCAGTAATAACACAGAGGACTTCATCATCCTGCCAGTAACGACAGGGGAAGTAAGGAAAGCCCTAGAAGGAATGCAAAGAGGCAAAGTCGCTGGTGAGGATTATGTAGCAATGTACCTGCTGAAAGATGTTGGAGAAATTGTGTTAAGAAGAACTGGCAACCTTATATACGAAGTAGCTCTTGACGGGAAGAGTACCAGAATCTTGGAAGAACGATGACATCATTTTGATATGTAAGAAAGTAGATGTCAAGGACTTGAAAAATTACCGGTCGATCAGCTTACTGTCTGTTCTCTACAAACTATTTACAAAAAATTAGCTAATAGAATTAAAGCGACATTGGAGTTCAATCAACCAAAAGACCAATAAGATTTCGTACAGGCTACTCTACAATAGACCATGATCATAATATCAATCAGGTAGTAGAAAAATCTGTGAAAAACAACCAACTCTTGTGCATAGCCTTCATAGATTACGAGAAGGCGTTTGACTCTGTTGAGACATCAGCAGTGATGCAGGCACTACAGAATTAGGGCATCGATGAGCCCTACATAAACACACTGGAAAAAATCTGCTGCGGATCCACAGGCACCACAGTTCTTAATAAAGAAAGCAACATAATTTCAGCAAGGAAACCAAATCACAGTCGTCACAGTGGAAGCATTCCACTTCACCAAGACCAAAGGCCCGCCAAATGTGCAGCAATGTTGAAGTGATGCTGAGTGCTTTCTTTGACTCCCACGGTGTAGTACACCACAAGTACGCACCACAGGGTAAAACAATCACCTAAGAATACTACAGGGACATCCTCAGTTTCCTACGTCATGCTGTGTGGCACAAGAGACCTCAGGTGAGGTCAACAGGAAACTGGTCCATCTTTCACGACAATGCCCCTGCACATTCCTCACACTTGGTTCACACTTTTTTGGCAAAAAGTCAGACGCCTGTAGTTCAACAAGCTTCTTACTCTCCTGATATGGCCCCCTGTGACTTTTCGCTATTTCCCAAACTCAAGAGGACATTGAAAGGAGAGCAATTTCAGACAAGGAAGGACATTATGGCTGGAACGACAGCTCAGCTAAACTCCATTCATAAAGAGGCCAGCTCAGAATGCTTCCAACAATGGCAGCACCGCTGGGAGAAGTGTGTGGAATCCCAAGGGGACTACTTTGAGGGGAATTAGGTGTCCAATGCTCTAATTATGCCAGTTTTTTTTTTTTTTTTCACCAAAGGTCAGACACTTTTGTAACAGAGCTCGTTACAATGTGTTGTCACGTCTCGATTTGGTTTTTATGTGGGAAACACCTTGCAGATCCTGTTGAACATCAAGAGGGGAACTGTATTAGAGAGCAATGGAGTACAATGGAAAAATTAAATCATGCAATACTGTACAGCATCTGAACCAAAGAACACAGCAAAGCACTGAATTCTCTAATGAAACAGCTATACAATAAAAAAAAAGGCAGATTGAGCAAGAAATGAGCACAGGTATTTGTGAAATTATTTGACTGATTATCAAGCGATTTCATTGGGAAGACCATTCTAGTGATATATGGCACGTGGTGTAGCAGATGAATAGAAAGCAGTAATTAAACCAAAATGTGCCTGAAACTGAGATGATTATGTGATCTTGCAGACGTTCGTGACAAATGTATTCGTTCTATTCCTACGTGTCTAAATTTACCATCCTATTGAAATACCTGATGAGCATTCTCCCAACTTCCTTCTTACCAGGTTGCATACTTTGGTGTTCACTCTACAAATGAAAAAAAAAAAAAAAAATGTGTCGTTGCTCTTCTTGGGTTTTACTACCAGTGCATGCAAAGACTGCGACACGTTGTGTTTCGTCTTTGCTTTAACAGTGAACATCGTCAATCATCATCTTTCAGACTGGAGTTTGAGAACATGATAAAGGAGAAGAAGAGGAAACTGGGGAGCAAAAAGGTTCTTCCAGGAGCAAGGCATGTTACGGATGATGTATCCTAGTGACTTTGTTGCTCGTAGCACCTGGTGAGCCGATGGAGCTGGTGCTTTGTCAAAACTGTATTCGTTATGACAGTTGTGATTTCTAGCTTCTCGGCACTGTACAGAGTAGAGAAACCCTGGGCACTTGCATTCACCTGGGTTGGTTGTACAGCTGACGTGTTTGTTGGCTTGTACTATATAAGATTGTAAACCAGACAAGAATATTATTTCAAATAAGGAGCAGCTGCAAGTTATGAGTAGGTCATGTTGAGACCTGGGAATGCATGTATTTATATTGTGTTTGTGAAAATAAGTGTTTCTTTCGAATGTCTTTTATGTGCTCTTATTTCTTTCTCACGGCCTCCATACAAAGCTGTGCTTTAAGATATGTGCCAGCTTGCTCAAGTGCTTCAGTGACAACAAGGCTTACTTTGTTAGTATTAACGCATGTGCAAAAGCTCTCTTTACTGTTTTGAGCTTGCATGAAAGCGCTATACTGGCCTGTGCCTGAAATTTTGCATAACTGCCTGTTCGCGTGTTAAGACTATCATTGTTGTGTAATAGTGTCCACGGCTCTCTTCTGCATTTCTTATGCATTGCTTGTTTGCACCAGTGGGTCAAAGGCGAGAACACTTATTTTTGAAAAGTATAATAATGTTTTGAGCGTCGCTGCAGTACAATAAGCACTGTTAATTGCTGCTCTTCAAACATTAATAAAATGTTGGTAACTCAGTACTTAAAATGTCAGTAAGGGCCTGATCAAACTGTTGACTAGTTGTTGGAAACATTTCCTGTACTCAGAAAAGTGTAACCAATGGACCGTTCAATAAATGAAATAATTGGAGTGTTCGTGGTCTACTTTCATTTTCAGTGCAACTTTTGACTGTTGCTTCAAGAGTTGTCAGTAATCTGTGTATACACATGCAGTAACGTTAAAACTGCAGGGTGATCTTTAATAGAGGCCCTCTTGAGCAAAGCCTTTATGGAGTCAGCCTCTTGGGGTCACGTGGGAACATCGACGTTTTCCTGATATTGTCCAGGCCCAAGTACAGCATCGTAACTCGTTCAAGGCCTGCAAGGTAAGAAACAAATCCATAACGTTCAAGACCGTGGTACGGATCATAAATGGTGTCTGTTATTTGAGGGTCGCAACATGCACTAGAAGAAACTACATTTAAAAGAATGTGCGACAGCGTTTCTCTGATTTAATGAGCATCAAATGCACCAAATATCAGAGCTGAGAAAATGCTGTTACATCTGAAGTACACCAAAAACGTTAGAAGACGTAGGTCGAGCACTGTTTTTATACAGCACCATCATGTATAAAATAAATCAAGAAAAAATTATACATGTTGTGAACCATTATTGGGTTTAGCCTATAACAAGAAAATAAAAATATTGTCTCCTCCACAAAAAAAAATTGTATGTCGAACAGTCACCCACCTATTCCACCACCTGCGTGTGGTGGTGCACCATACCGGAAGGAGTCTATGTAGGCCTTGATTTTGCTGATATCTACAGCAGTAAGAAATGAGGACAGCATGTTATTTTTGAAATGATTTGTACATTGCATAGTACTATGAGAGATTAAAATCTCGTGAAAGGGTAACTCATGCCGGCATTTTGAAACAAATGGGCCCGAGCAAGAAGGATGTAGCGCAATGAACCATTGCATTACTCTGTCACACTCTGGAGCTCCCATTTATAAAAAGAAACACACAAAACAGATGACTGTAAACATTTATAATGCTTCTGTCAACTTCTGCGCAAAACAACCCAAGAAATATGCAAGTCTTCACACACTTTCAAACATACACAACGAGAAAATATGCATAAGTGGCTACTAACCAACTCCATGTTCTTTGGCTCTTTCTGTAAGAAAATCTGGATCGTGAATTCGCTGGGCGCCAGACAGAATCTCTTCCCCACGCATGAACATGTCATACGAGTTTGACACTTTCTGTAATTAGAGTGAAACGTGTTGAAATAGGCCATGCCAGCAACGATTCCAACCAAATTCATTAACAAATGTAAACTGCCAATTCAAAGGTTGTGGTGCAATCAACATAGCTTTAAGGGTCCTTAAGCAGAGTAAATTGTTGCAGTTCCATTCCAATGATTAAACATGGCTGTAACAAACAAAATTGAATTGCAAATAAAAAAATTTAAAGTCCATTGCAAATAAAAAAATCTAAATGCACATTTTATTTATGTATATAAGAACTTTGAAGTCTTGTTTATATTAAGATACGCAATGTGTGACTGTAAATGTTAATTGCTCCTTACTGGTGCTACCAACCATGCAAAATACAAATGTATCTAGTATTATGACCAGAAATCAAGTGTGTACGTAGATTGCAATTCTCTCACTACAATGTAGTGAATTTTTTCAGCATGAGATCAGTTTACAGCTGTACAAATGATAGGCGGTACATACGAATGAAACATACCGAGTCATGAGGGTCAGGCATGGTGTAGAATGGCCTCACTTTGAGCGGGTACTTATCCAGGATGTAGAAATCTGTGTCGTACTGTAAGAACGCAGAAATACAAGTTCAAAGGTCACTTTTCAGTGCCGATCTTAAAGTGGGTAGACGAACGTAATGATTAGGCTTGTGTAAATAATAATGTAAGGTTGAATAGTAGTTTGGTTGAATAATTTTGAATTTAATTTGGATAGGATATATCACATGTTATTAAAAAAGCGGGTGTATTTCCCATAATTTAACTAAACTATATATATTTTTTATTGAAGTAAGGCATGTGTGAATCTCATTTTTTTTTTTTATTCAAAGAAAGTGGAAGCAACATCACATAATAGCAGGGCCTTCCTTTTCGTAGAATGCAAGTAATAACCTGTAAAATATGTTGTTTCACATTTTACTTTATTCAAGGCATATTAGCTCGTATATCAAGCTATTAACTTTGAAAAATGATGAATTGAGGTGAGGCTAATATGTTCATTTAACCTTGAAGCGGAGCTTTGTGGTTGTGCGAATTCCCCCTGGACCGGTGTATTCACGGTACAGCGCACCTCCACTGCAGTGAAACCACCTTTGCAGAGGGTTACATGTGGACTAATAAGTATACACCTATTCGTTCATTTTGAATACTTCGAAACTTCCGATAACCTAAATTCAAATATTGCGATATTCGTTCAAATATTTGAAGTGCTTGAACATTTGCTCAAACCAATTGAAAATGTTTTAGAACAACAAAGAGCTGAGTGAGCTAGTTGGTAAGTATTCACTCTAAAAGACAGCGGAAAAACACAGACACAAGAGTCAATACACCACAGACACCGATAGCAGTTATAGAAGCCTAAGAAGTGTCGCTGATCAGATAAGCAGGAAAAAATTGAAAGGGGCCTGGAGTACTAGAAATAATATTAAGCTTATATTATAAAAGAGCTTAGCTAGTTGGTTCATTAAAATAAAAGAAGACTGGGCATGCAAACACGTAAAATAGAAAGAAGTCATGACACCACAGGTGCCATGTTTGTGTCGGTGTATGCACGCCCCGCCATTCATAACAGGTAAAACGTTCCATTTGCGGTAGATCTCAAATGTGCGTACCACCCAGTAATTTTTATGAACCACTATGTTGAAACTATACTTAAAAGAGAATGAGCGCAAATCTTATGGGACGACCTAGACACGTAAACTTGGATGCTCCCTTTCAGTCAATCACTTTTCAAGGACGTTTCTTTTTTTTTTTTAAACTGGCAATGTTGAAACAGGAACGAACACGACAAAAGTTCTTCACTACAGTTGCAATGATAAGCCCTAAATCAAGCGACATAGCTGCTTCATGTTCATGGGTATAACTCGCTTGCCGTGTACATAGAAGCTAGGATCAATTGTAATTTGTGAGCACTTCGTTCAAAAATAGCGGCTACTTTTAAGTTCCAATAACGTTCATCTATCACAGAATGACATTGGTATGATGATGCCACCCCTACAATTGATGAGTGTCGTGACTGAAAGCTGTGACCTTGAAGTGGGACATGTTAAGCACCCAACCATAGGCGAACAAATGAAGCATTATTCTCGATATTGACTCTCTGTAAGGCTACTCAGTTACAGCTTTCTGCGAAACCGGGTAATCAAATCAAATTGCGTTTCTTGTAGCAAAATGACAGATGGCTCTCACAGACACTGTAGTAGGAGGAAGGAAGGGTCTAATGGTCGCACCTAAGTCTGAAACCCATATTCTGGAATGTTGTTCAGCTAAGCACTTTGCTTTAACTTAGAGAAAACTGGTGGCAGTGCTGTCCCTCCACAGAAGCGACCAGTCGCCAGGCTTCACAGGTGCACCATGGCACTTCATGAAAAGTTTATAGTCTTTTTCAGTCGTGATACAGTTCACGTCGTGTGATGTGACACCTAGTGTGATTCTATGCTTCCGCCACAAAATATTAAGTCTGTCAACGCAGTTACCGTCGTCTGACATGACACATGTACACGGCATTTTTCCAAAGCAGTTTCAAGCACTGGTGTGGCTCCGAGGTGTAGACCAGTCAGGTGCCACGCAGAATGCTTGGGTTCAATTCTGGCACGAGCCCTGATCTTTATTCTTTGCATCCATCGGGGTTTTCCACTCAATGCCTCATGAACAACACTGGCTTTTTTTGCTCACGAACAATGTAACTAACGCAAGCATTGACAATACATTTTCTGATACACAGGCTCTTTAATTATATCAAATTAAAGCAAGGACAGTAGCAAGTAACAGGAACAAACAGGGCTAATGCCGACTTTCATATGAAATTTTTATTTAAATGGGAAAGGTGTATTTGTCAAGATTATCAAAGGCACACTGGCGATGTAACATCACCTATACACTTTAAACAAGCATCCACTATTCCCGTTTTCGTGAGTGCTGAGCAATTTTCAAGATGAAAAACTGACACCACTACAGATGCTTGTAAAAAGCAAGCCACAAAAACGTGAATGCCTACGGCACACCACGAAACAGCACCTACTTTTGCCTTGACCAGCCGTCCCAGCAGCTTCTCATTTGGAGTGCTCAAGTCGTCCTCGTCGTCCATTTCAACTCCAGCTTCACGAAGCATTGCAACAGCCTCGGGAAATTCTAGCCTCAGGCTTTGGGGTTAGAAGAAATAACGAAAACACACTTAGCGTAAAGTAGTAGTTTTGCTATGATTTATTAGTATACTAGTAGCAGGACGAAGCTAAATGTTAATCAGTGCAATAGAATAAGTAATTTCTTTTAAAGTCTAGACGAGAAGCTGTTATAAGTTGCAAACCAGTTGTAAAAGGAAACAAAACATGTTGTAACAGAAAGCAAAACATGACACACTAGTTCAAATATCC